TGTCTTCTTCAAATTCTGGATAGGTCTATTATTAATGTCATCTTTTTTGATTGAACGAAGTCTTTGAAGACTGCCCAATTCGTCTTTTTTCGTGATTTGTTCAATCTTTGGGATAGGCAGTCCATTTGGATTATATCAAATATCTTCATAATCCATTCTTCAGTTGTTGGGATTTCTGTTTATTTCCATACTTTGGCCAGTAATATTCTGGCCACTGTACTTAATAAAAAGAACATTTTTCCTGGTTCTCATTTAGTTTTGGATGGGATATGCCCAATAGGTACATTTCTGGGGACTGAGGGGAGTTAATTTTTAAACAGGTGTACTTCTTTACAATATTTTTTAATTCTTTTACAGCTCCACCATTGGTGGAAAAAAAGTCCCTATCTCTTTTTGGCATTTCCAGCATTTGTTTGAAACATTTTTATTGAATTTGGCCAATTTATCTGGGGTATAGTACCATCTAAAGAACATCTTGTACCAGTTTTCCCTTAGATCATTGGCCACTGTGTATTTTATCTTAATGTTCCAAATTTCTTCCCATTGCTTTAAAAGGATATTGTCGCCAATGTCTTTCGCCCATTTAACTTGGCAATCTTTTATTTGTTCTTCCTCAGTCGCCCAGCTTAAGAGTTGTTTGTATAGTATCCTAATAAGTTTCTTCTCCTTTTGCATAATTATTTCCCAAATACCCTGCTCCTGACAAAACCTCTTTTTTCATCTTCTTTAAAACTTTGATATAATTGGTGATATTGAAGCCATGTTAATTTAACATTTAATTGTTTTATCTCCTCTATTGGTTTTATTGTTAGTTTTTTATCATCCATTATTTTCAAAATTTGTTTATAAGTTAGCCAATTTTCTTTGCCCAATTCTCTCTTGTGTTTTGCTTCTGACGGAGATATCCACATTGATGTTTTGCTATATAATCTTGGTTTGTACTTTTCCCAAGTTTTAATTAATGAGGCTCTTATGTAGTGATCATTAAAGTTTTTCTCTACTTTTCTTTTGTTGTACCAAATGTTACCGTGCCAACCTGCTCAAAGGTCATGTCCTTCTAGGGTTAGTAGCTTTTGGTTTTTTAGTGTGGTCCATTCTTTTATTCATAATACGCTTTAAAGTTTGGGAGCCCCAGACCTCCTCTTTTTTATCATCTGTTAAAATTTTGAAATTGATTCTGGCTTTTTCATTCCGCCATATGAATTTAATTATGTCTGAGTTCCATTTTTTTAATAGATAATCATTTCTTATGATTGGTAAGGATTGGAAGAGAAAGAGGAGTTTGGGAAGAATATTCATTTTAATTGTTGCAATTCTTCTGAGAAGGAAAATATTTTGGTACTTCCATCTTTCTAGGTCTTTTTTGATATTTTTCCAGAGTGATTCATAGTTGTTCTTTAGTAGATTTGTGTTATTTGGCGTTATGATGACTCCCAGGTATCTTATTTTATTTTCAATTCTTAAACCTGATTTTTCTTGTAATAATTATTTTGGGTTTTTTGTCCATATTTTTGACTAGCATTTTGGTTTTTTGTTTATTAAGTTAGAAGCCCGCCAAATTTCCAAATTTTCGGTTGGCGGCTACATGGTGGAGGACTCGTCTCCTTTGCGCTCCACAAGGAGATCGCCAGGTTTGGTGAGTTAGGGGAAATATCTCCTCTCCTCTGGTAGGTGGTCCGAGGCCTCAGAGGTAAGACCCTGCTGTGCAGACGGCCGGCAATGTAGCACATTGAGGGCAGACTCGCCTCCACGGCAGGAAGCCATAGGCTTCCAATACTCTCCACAGCCACCAATACAAAGAGCAGGAAGAAAAGAGAAGAAGGGTAGCCTGACATTCTTTGAACCATCAACATTAAATGCAAATGTATTTTATGAAATTTTGCAAATGGCATAATTTTCATTTCTTCCCACAAAAAAAGTTTTGACCCAAATCACTCTGCCTTTCCTATTAGAAGACTACATAAAATGAATAAAAAGTCTGTCTGGAAGATCAAACTTACCTAGGTTCACTTGAAACATTACATATTATTACATATTATTCACTAGTAAATGCTTACCATAACTTCTACATTCAAAACATGTGAACAGAAAATAACACTAACAGGTGTTATTCAGAAGTACATAACATTGAGGGCCATGTGAATCCGTGTATCCCTCATTCTTTTGTTTTTCAATTAGCCATTAAAAAATTAAAAAAACAAAAATATGTTATTTGAATTTGAATCGGATATCAAAAATGAAAAAGGCAGTGTTTTTCATTATTTCAGTTTAGACTTGGATAAAAAAATATGCAAGGGAAAAAGGGTTACCAGATCGAGTCTGATTTTAATGTTACATTTGTCAGATATATGAGGCCTTGTTTGATTGTTAATTGAAAAACAAAAGAACTAATGATACATGGATTGGAAAGACTCAGGGCATATTCAGAACAGTCGTTTTGATCAATATAAAATATTGTTTTTGTACGCGTGTATTTTATCCTGTGGTCAACAGTGCTGGCAGGCTGCATAGTCTTGATTTTTATGGCAGAGGCTGTGGTCCAGTGGAAATTTGAACATGGGCTGCAATTGGCCCCCGGGCCGGACTTTGGACATGCCTGGCCTAGGCCTTTCTTACTTGGCACTAAAATAGCAGCAGGTAGCCTTCAAGGGAAGGGCATTCCTTAGCCAGAGGCAGTCCTCTCCTATCTCCCCTGACTTTGTACTGCTTACACCGGTAGGCTGTATACACTAGAGCAAGCACGGGCAAACTACAGCCCTCCCAGTTTTTGGATTTCAACTCCCACAATTCCTAATAGCCTCTGGCTCTTTCCTTTTCCTTTTCCCTTTCTGCTTCAGCAACTGAGAGGGAAAAGGAAGGGCCTGAGGCTGTTAGGAATGTTGGGAGTCCAAAACACCTGGCGGGCCCAAGTTTGCCCATGCCTGCTCTAGAGGAAGCGGTTTAGGGCTCTAAATGTCAATATAGGCTCCCTGGATTCACATTTGATTACTGCTAGACTAATGAAGGCACTCTAGTGAGAGGTATTCATAAAGATATAGGCATCCTAAATGGGGGAAAGGTTGCAACGTGGTCGTAGAATTCCCAACTCGCATGTAGCCAGTTCCACATCAATCCTTTGCTCCAAAGGTCAGGTTAGCAAGTTACAGGGAGAAAAAACCTAGTCTTTTTTTAATGTTTATTTGCTTTGCTGCCTGCTGAGTGGGAAACATCATGCATCTGGTGGACTATGAAGGTTCATGCCATACTAAATTGGCTAAATTGTCTAGTGTTGCAAGATTCTTGTCACTTTGACTATTTGTCAGAGCAGACAGTGGCAAATGCGTCCTCATTTGTGCAGCTGTCAGGATCTCCCAGTGGTTCTCTCTCTCCTGCTGAGCCAAGGCACCTGGAGGCCTGGAGGCCATCATGGTTTCCAAAACATCAGAGGAATAAACCTGAATAGAGCAGCTGTACTTATGCCCTGAGAAGAAGCTGGATTACTAGTAGCTCCCCAACTCGCCCTAGAAAGAGCAATTAAAGGTTCTTTGACTCTCAGAACTGGTCTCTCAACTTGGGTACGTTCCAGTTAATATGTTATCCGACATAATTTGGTTTTCTAAGAGTCCCATCCTCTGCATGGCACCATTCTAAGAACTGTGACCCCTCTTTGTCGCTAGAGTCATTGTCTCATGGCATGCAGACTTTTCTGTTATCATATTTGTCCAAGGCGGATGTGCCTAGCTTTAGCTCCATTTTTCTGAGACCGATGGGGGCTGCTTCAATGCATAGGTCCCATTGTGCCTTGACCACTGGGGCTGATTGCAATTATTGATGGGTAATAAGCCTATCTCACAAAATGAAGGCTGTGAAGTTCCTTATTTATTTATTTATTTGGGGTTCTTTTACCCCGCCCTTCTCACCCCAAAGGGGACCCAGGGCGGCTTACAACAGCAGGCACGATTAGATGCCTGCATCACAAAACAATCATCACAACACTACAACAAATACACAATTACCAACAATTCATGCATTATCCCAATAAAATCGATAAAATCAATACAAACCCAATTCCTCCCTTACATTGTCAGTGTTTGCTGTCTCATAGATCTGCTTTTGATACCATTTCGTCAATCCTGCTGGTCTTACCCGTCAGATTGTCTTATTTAATTGCCTGGTTGCCCAAAGGCCTGGTCCCATAACCATGTCTTCACCCTCCTCCTGAAGGAGAGGAGGGATGGTGATGCTCTGATTTCCCCGGGGAGTGAGTTCCACAGGTGAGGGGCCACCACTGAGAAAGCCCTGCTCCTCGTCCCCACCAGCCTCACTTGTGAGAGTGGTGGGGTCGAGAGCAGGGCCTCCCCAGATGATCTCAAACTCCGAGGTGGGACGTAGCGGGAGATACGTTCGGACAGATACACTGGACCGGAACCGTACAGGGTTTTATAGGTCAAGACCAGCACCTTGAATTGTGCTCGGAACTGAACCGGCAGCCAGTGGAGCTGGCATAGCAGGGGGGTGGTGTGCTCCCTGTATGTCGCCCCAGTGAGCAATCTGGCTGCCGCTCGCTGGACTAGTTGAAGTTTCCAAACAGTCTTCAAGGGCAACCCCACGTAGAGAGCGTTACAATAGTCTATTCGGGATGTAACAAGAGCGTGGACCACCGTGGCCAGATCAGACTTCCCAAGGTACGGGCGCAACTGGTGCACAAGTTTTAATTGCGCAAAAGCTCTCCCGGCCACCGCTGAGACCTGGGGTTCCAGGCTCAGCGATGAGTCCAGGATCACTCCCAAGCTGCGAACCTGCGTCTTCAGGGGGAGTGTAACCCCATCCAGCACAGGCTGTAACCCTATACCTTGTTCGGCCTTACGACTGACCAGTAGGACCTCTGTCTTGTCTGGATTCAATTTCAATTTGTTAGCTCTCATCCAATCCGACACAGCAGCTAGACACTGGTTCAAGGTCTGGACAGCCTCCTTGGTGACAGGTGAGAAGGTCCCATATATCTTCCTCTCCTTTTTCAGGTCCGCCTGGCCTTGATGCATGCCGAATATTTTATGAACAATGTCAAAATGCACGACTACGTGAAAGACAGTGAGGAGTGCAAACCCATTGTTATCGATGCCCTAAAGGCCATGTATGACCTGAACATGAATGGCCCGTCCAGCTCCGACTTCACCAACCCATTGACCCGGCCCCGCCTGCCCTACGCCATCTTGTTTGCTATCGGTGGCTGGAGTGGCGGGAGCCCAACCAACGCCATTGAGACATACGACGCCCGTGCCGACCGCTGGGTGAATGTCACCTGCCAGCAGGAGAGCCCCCGGGCTTACCATGGTGCCGCCTACCTGAAGGGCTACGTCTACATCATCGGGGGCTTTGACAGTGTGGACTACTTCAACAGTGTAAAGCGATTTGAGCCCGTCAAGAAGACGTGGCACCAGGTTGCGCCAATGCACTCGAGGCGTTGCTACGTGAGCGTCACCGTCCTGGAAAACTTCATCTATGCCATGGGTGGCTTTGATGGCTATGTGCGCCTCAACACGGCGGAGAGGTACGAACCCGAGACCAACCAGTGGACCCTGATAGCCCCTATGCATGAGCAGAGGAGTGACGCAAGCGCCACCACGCTGTACGGGAAGGTAAGTGACAATGGCCCATCCCCAGTATAGACAAAAGTGTCAAGTGCCATGTTGGCCAAGCTGGATAATCCAACCCCAAATTTGAGAGGATTGTCCCTCCCACCCTTCCTTCCATCCTTCCTCCCTTCATTCCTTTCGTTCTTTCTCTCTCTGGGTCTCTAGTGGAATAAATGAAGCCTGAAGGCAGCACTCTCCAGCCTGATGGCCCTTCTGCATTGCTTTGTAAAAAATTGGATGGCCAATTGGATGCCCCCCCCCCCCCCCGTGAGGGTCTTCCTCCAGGGCAAACCAAGAATGGGCAACATGGAAGTCTCTTAACAGACTCAGAAGTGGCGTGGGCAGATAAAAAGACAGTCTGGCAAAATGGTACCACCTAAAAGAATCTTCCAGCTTGTGTGACTGGAGCAGAACAGACAACTCCACATCTGTATGCTTATCCACTGTGCCCTGCCTCATGTACAGAGGAAGAATCATTGGAGGCTACAGACAATGCCGCTGCTGTTACACATTTTTGGTCAAAAGATATTTAGTCACATATGCTCCTTCTATTTTTATCAGTTTTATACTAATTTATGCAATACTTTTGAAAAGAAATAAATAAACAAATTGCTTTGTATCTTAAAATCCGATCCCAGATAATCTGCTTATCCAAGATTATCCAGCAGTGAAGACTCATATCATCCAGTTCAAAGCAGATAACCTGGGATCAGATCCTGGGATATAGGGTAGTGTAGAAGGGGCCTCTGAGACCCTTTGCTGGTCTGCCAATGCAGCCATTCTCAATCAGTTGTGTTGGTTAGGGATGTGAGTTGTAGTCTAACATATCTGGAGGATACATACTATGTATCCTCCAGTCTATTATTTGGCTTCTGTATCTTTGTATCTCTTCTGATGTCTTTATCTTTGTTTTGTTTTCTGCAGAGCCTATCCCCTTGAATTATTCTAATGTGCAACCGGGTACATTTTGTGCTGTAGAAAAATGAAATGTGCAGCACAAAATGGGTTTCATTATTATTATTATTATTAACAACTTTATTTATATCTCGCCTTTCTCCACATGGGGACTCAAGGCAGTTAACAATACAATACTTTAGTCAAGTTTTAAAAGCACAATACAATAGTTTTAAAAAAACAATTAAATAGTACAGTATGGTAAAAATGGATTAAAATATAATAAATACACTTAAAATAGTCTTACTTTAAGAGGTCACCTCAATGTCTTAAAATATCATGCAGAAGCCGAGGTTGTGGCATCAGCTGTGGCTCCTTACTAGATGAGCATATCCTGGGCAGAATAATCTATATACTGATAGCATCATATCAGCGACTGCTTGTTGTGACTCGGCCTGTAATGACTACGAAAAGCTCAGTCAGTGCAAACAATGGAAATGTATTGAAAATAGGGTTTTCCTGCATATTTTTTCAAAATGAAAGCAATTTGGAAGTATCCCCATCCTCAAGACACCGTGTCTTCCTGTAGGAAAGAATCTCTGCTTTGAGTAACTCAGGATCTGCATCTCGAAAGGGCCTCATCCAGGCCGTTCTCTGATGCCATACTTATTATATTATCACTGTCAGTTAAAGTGCCTTTATTTCCCAGGCATTCTCCTGCTACATATTTATACTGGAAGGTCCCACAGCCTTAAGGAAGCTCAGAATATTCTTGGGGATCCATCAAACCCGGAATGTTCTTTTTAAAAATTATTGCCATCTGGGAGACAGTACAGGGTGACAAAGGCAAGGACAAACAGACTGAGAGGGAGCTTTCCTCCTAGAACTGTGACTATCTTTAACTCCATGGTTTTGCATTGATGTGGCACTGAGGGATGTGCGATAATGGTGGGAGTGTAGAAGGATGGGTGTGTTGTTTATGTGCTGGGAGAGGCATTTAAGTTCGTTGTGCAATAGTACAATCAAAATAAAGCTATTCTATTCTATTTAAAAGACTTTTCTGGTCCACTTGTAGTGTTGATTATTACTAAGATAACTGGCTTGTTTTAACTACTTTATTGACTGCCAGTTGGGTCTTGGGGGCACTGGGTTGCAGTAACTCCGCTCCTTCCTGGAGGACCGTTCCCAGATGGTGGTGCTGGGGGACACCTGCTTGAACCTCTGGACATTGTCCTGTGGGGTCCTGCAAGGTTCTTTTCTCTCCCCTATGCTTTTCAACACCTACATGAAACCGCTGGGATAAGTCATCCAGAGTTTTGGAGGTGGGTGCCATCTCTATGCAGAAGATGCACAACTCTACTACTCTTTTCCACCTAAATCCAAGGAAGCTCCCTGGATCCTGGACCGGTGCCTGGCAGCTGTGATGGACTGGATGAGGGTCAACAAAATGAGGCTTTATCCAGACAAGACAGAGGTCCTCCTGGTCTGTTATGAGCCCGATCAGGGTATAGGGTAGCAACCTGTGCTTGAAGAGGTTACACTCCCCCTGAAGACACAGGTCCACAGACTGGGGGTCCTCCTGGACTCAGCACTGATATTTGAAGCTCAGGTATCGGCAGTGGCCAGAAGAGCATTTGCACAGTTAAAACTTGAATGCCAGCTGTGACCTTACCTCTAAAAGCCTGACTTGGCTACTGTGGCCCGTGCCTTAGTTACATCTAGAATGGATTACTGTAATGCACTCTGTGTGAGACTGCCTTTGAAGATGGCTTGCAAATTGCAATTGGGACAAAGTTCGGCAGCCAGGTTACTAATGAGCTAGCTATAGGGAGCATACCATGCCTCTATTGAAGCAGCTCCACTGGCTGCCAATAAGTTTCCAGTCCCAATTCAAAGTGCAGGTTATCATCTATAAAGCCCTACACTCTTTGGGTCCAGCCTATCTTCGTGACTGCATCTCCCCCTATGAACTAGTTCGGGCTCTGATATCTGCCGGGGAGGCCCTCCTCTTAGTTCTGCTTCAAGCATGATTGGTGTGGACGAGGGAGAGGGCCTTCTCGGTGATGGCCCTTCTGGCTCTGAAACAGCCTTCCCTGGGAACTTAGATAAGCCCCTACACTACAACACTTATAGAGTTTTTTTCAACAGGCCTTCAATAATGTTTAGGCAGCAAACGGAACTGATTGCCAATCACTTAGCACTTTATATTCTATATGCATTCTGCTGGGCTGCTACATTGATTTCATGGATCTTTTAACTGATTCTATTTAATAGAGATTGTTTTCTCCAGTTTATATACCTGGTTTAGGTAATGTATTATTGTTTTCATGTTGATGTATTTTAGTTTATTATGTATTTTATGTATGGCAAGTGTGTGTGCTGTTTTGTTGTTGTTGTTATTATTATTATTCTTTCTATTGCTTGTATTGGCTTTGTGAAAGCCTGTCGAAAAAACTGAAGTTTTGTAGGGTTTTAAAAACTCAGAGATGTATGATGGCCTGAGTTTCCATGGACTAGAGAGTCCAGTTTGCCTGATGGCATAATATAACACTCTTCATTGTTTTGGCTGGAGGAGCTTCCTGCTTTGTACATATGACCATAAAAGTTGCTAATGCACTGAAGGATAGCAGGGAAGAGGCTGAGGACAGTGCCTTGAGCAAAACAACATCATTTTCTATATCATAAACATACTCAGATTATTAGATCAGTTCTGAGACTAATTGGGGAACCTGTAATAACTCTTGCTGGGAAAAGCTTGTGACAATCACATTGTTTAAGCAAATGGAGACATACCATTATTGGAACAATTAAAGCCTTGCTACAATTGCTGGTGCTTTGATGATGCTTCCTGCCTTGTTCTCCCTGCCTGCGTTTTTATTTTATTTTTCCACAAATGCACAGCTACGGCATTGTCGCACCACCTCCCTCTGCTTTGCAATATGAGAACTGCAGTCGAAGGAGAAATAGGAGTAGAACAGCTCTATTGGATGCACTACTGGGATTTTCCTGTCAGTTGAAAGGCATCATGCAATCACGATTCAAATGCAGTGAAACTCTAGGGCACACCCAACTTTGTGTGATAAGCCCTGACTGAGAGTGATCACATTCCTCTCCTGTATGGTTTTTAAAGCTTTCTACAAGATTGCTTAGAAGCTCAAACTGTTGAAAAGTTTCAGTTACACCTGCAATATTTTACCTCCTTTTATTTCCTTTTTAAAAGGTCTATATCTGTGGTGGATTCAATGGGAACGAGTGCCTGTTTACGGCGGAAGTGTACGATGCTAAGGTTGATCAGTGGAGCTTGATCGCACCCATGAGGAGCAGGCGGAGCGGCATTGGCGTGATCGCATATGGAGAACACGTCTATGCAGTAAGCCCAGGCTCCTTTTGCTCCTGCAAGACTTCTTTTTCTCGTGCCTTTTTCTCTCTTCTTCACTCCCCAAAACTGGCAGGCTGCAGGGGCAGGTTGCTCATTGACTGAAAGCTTGAGGTTCCTTCCTACCCCAATTATGAGACCATGGTCTTACAGAAACCTTGCACAGAAAGTTAATATTATCATCTCATAGGATGGTTAAGAAGCTAATTCCATGCTAAGATGAAGCCAAAATTGGGAACTTCACTCCCCAAGTCAAGTCAGGTATCCTATATCTCCCCAGCTTGAGTTTGGTGGAAATAAATGTGTTGATTATTTATTTATTTATTTATTTCTCGCGCTTCTACCCCACCCTTCTCAAACCCCGAGGGGGGACTCAGGGCGGCTTACAAAAAGGCACAATTCGATGCCGGCACAACAACAAGGTAAAAAAATAAAACATATAAACAGTAATTAAAACAATTAAAACAAGCCATTATACATCACAATCCCTAAAAACAATCTAGTGCTCAACGTTTACCAGCTCACAGTCCGTAAATTCAAATTCCACATTGTCCGATCCATCAATTCTAGTCGTTGCTTGTCCCTTATCTATCCGCCAGATTACCCGAAGGCCTGGTCCCAAATCCATGTTTTTAATTTCCTTCTAAAGGAGAGGAGGGATGTCGATGACCTAATTTCCCCGGGGAGTGAGTTCCACAGGTGAGGGACCACCACCGAGAAGGCCCTGCTCCTCGTCCCCACCAATCTCACTTGTGATAAAGGCGGGGCCGAGAGCAGTGCCTCCCCAGAAGATCTTAAACTCCGAGGCGGGACGTAGAAGGAGATGCATTCGGACAGATACGCTGGGCCGGAACCATATAGGGTTTGGTAGGTCAAAACCAGCACTCTGAATTGTGCTCGGAATTGGATCGGCAGCCAGTGGAGCTGACATAACAGAGGGGTGGTATGCTCCTGTATGACGCTCCGGTGAGTAATCTAGCTGCCGCCCGCTGGACTAATTGACGTTTCCGAACAGTCTTCAAAGGCAACCCCACGTAGAGTGCGTTGCAGTAATCTATTCGGGATGTAACGACCGTGGACCACTGATGTACTCTTATTTATTTATTTACCCTATTTATACCTTGCCTTTCTCTACCCCAAGAGGGACTCAAGGTGGCTTACATATGGCAATTAATCAAATCCTTAAACACATACAACATAAAGCTTAAAATTCATTGAATTAAAATGTATACATATTTTAAAAATTTAAAATTACATTCAATATTAAAATCACACCATCCAAGAATCATAGTCTATGACTCTATTTCCTGTGCTGGTCAATGACCGAAATAAATGATTTGATTTGATAGTCTGAGGCTGTTCCGTAGTCATTGCACATATTCCAGTTACATTATATTATAGCACTGCTTCTCTGAAGGCTTGATCCTAGAGTCAGGTTTGTACTCTCCTTTTGAAGGCTAGGAGGGAGGGGGCTGATCTAATGTTACGAGGGAGGGAGTTCCACAGTTGAGGGGCCACCACTAAGAAGGCCCTGTCTCTCGTCCCCATCAGTCATGCTTGTGAAGAAGGTGGGACCGAGAGCAGGGCCTCCCCAGAAGATCTTAATCTCCAAGGTGGTTCATAGGGGGAGATAAGTTTGGACAGGTAAACTGGACCGGAACCATTTTGATGTACTCTCATGTCTTCATAGCACCAGTTCTTCCTTTATTGGGCCATTGGTACCAGAAGTAGCTCCCTTCCTGTGCCAAACAGTGAGGAAACTGAGGAATTATTTCATTTATTTATTTCAAACATTTGTACCCTGTCCTTCTCAACCCCCAAAGGGGGACTCAGGGTGGCTTACAACTGGCACAATTTGATTCCCACACATACAAACAGTGTAAAAACACAACATTACATAATAGGTAAAAACATTAGGTTAAAAAAGAAAAATCCATTTAAAATAACAACAACAAAACTTTATTTATAAGTAATGATTTATTAACTAAATAGCCATATCCAAATCCAACTCAGCGACCAACAACCCAGTCCAAGGCCTGTCCATAGTCAGTTTTCCAGGGCATTGTGATTGCTGTCAGCCTGCTACCTGAAAGCCTGATCCCAAAACCATGTTTTAAGCTTTTTCCTAAAGAAAAGGAAGGATGTAGTTGACATAATTCCACTGGGATCGTGTTCCACAAGCAGAGGGCCACCATCGAGAAGGCCCTGTCTCTTGTCCCCACCAAGCGCATTTGGAAAGAAGGCGGGATCGAGAGCAGGGCCTCCCCGGATGATCTTAGACTCCAAGATGGGACATAAAGGGAGATACATTCAGACAAGCCTCCATTGCTTAGTTGTTGATCTGTATTAAGATCCATGGAGTAGAGATAGTGCAGCTCTCCAGATCTAACTCTGTATAAAGTAGGCATGGGCCAACTTCGACCTTCCCTCCAAGTGTTTTGGACTTCAACTCCCTGGTCTACACAATAGGACAATGGAATGCTTTGACTGTTGGACTAAGACCTTGGGATTGAAACAAAAAGAGTTGAGCAATGGCAAAGCTGGCCCATGCCTATTCTAAAGCAACCCACATGGTGGTGTTTTGCTCCCTGCAGGTGGGTGGATTCGATGGGGCCAACCGCCTCCGGAGTGCAGAAGCCTACAACCCGGTAGCTAACACCTGGCGGACGATCCCCACCATGTTCAACCCTCGGAGCAACTTTGGCATCGAAGTGGTGGACGACCTCCTCTTCGTGGTGGGCGGCTTCAACGGCTTCACGACCACGTTCAACGTTGAGTGCTACGATGAGAAGACAGACGAGTGGTACGACGCCCACGACATGAGCATCTACCGCAGCGCCCTGAGCTGTTGCGTGGTGCCGGGGCTCCCCAATGTCGGGGAGTACGCGGCCAGGCGGGACAATTTTGTGGGGTCGACCCCAAGAGATGAGGTCAAGTACTCCTCATCCACCAGCACACTCCCTGTGTGAAAGACTCTCCTTGACTAATAAAGCCCTCTAAGCAAGAACTCTATGCACAGCTGGGTTCATCTTGTCTTTCCCCCCAAACAGTATCCTAAAAAGTATCATAGATGAACTAAGAGTGTCTTAACCACCCAATTTGTTTATTCTGTAGACAGCCGAGGAGCTGGAAAGATGCAGAGGATACTGGCAGGATTGAGAGAAGAGGTACTGTGGGCAAATAATAGGGTTTTGCCATGTCTGCACCTGTTGCTTTGGCATTGAAGGAGTCAGGGAGGATTCTTGAGGGATTCCGATATAAAGAACTTCAGAATGCCATGGCTACTTACTGTGCAAGAGGGGAAATGTTTATAAATCATCCTTGTTTTGTTCCTCCTAAGAATTATGCTTACCTTTCCAGTCTGCCTGTTGAAGAGCCCTTTGCAAGCAGAAAGCTCGTATATTCCTGCACCGACAGAAGTTGATCCAATAAAACGCATTCGCACAGACTATCCATTTTCCATTGCTTATTGTCTGAAATAGATTAGCAGTGTCAAATTGTACTAAACTGTAAAAGGCTTCTATAGTTGTTCCACCAATCAAGCATGTTATTGTTTTGGTAGCTTCTTAGGAAACACGCCAGGCCTTCCTCTGAAGTGGAAAAATGCAGGTTTATTCAGCTGGGACTTTGGGTGGAAAACTCCAACAAATTCCCAAAAACTTACACTCATAGAAATGGTTGTTACATTATAATCTGTGGTTTTCTTTGCAGAGATTGGTTCCTCTCAGTTGGATTGGTTGCTCTCAGTTAACACTACTTTCAGTCTTCTATTCAATATGCTGCTTTGTAAATAGGGAATGTGATGTAAACAGCACTAGCTGTTTCCAGTAGCTAAGCTATTATTAATCATTTTAAGAGGCTTGCAGCTGCTGCCCAAATCTGAAGCATCATAGAATTATAGAGTGGCAGAGACCACATGGACCACCTAGTCCAACTGCCTGCCATGCAGAAAAATCACAATCAAAGCAGCCCTGACAGATAGCCATTCAGCCTCTCTTTAAAAGCCTCCAAAGAAGGAGCCTCCTCCACACTCTGAGGCAGAGAGTTCCACTGCTGAACAGTTCTTAAGTTCTTCCTAATGTCCAGGTGGAATCTCCTTTCATGTCATTTGACCCCATGGCTCCATTGAGTCCTAGTTTCCAGGGCAGCAGAAAACAAGCCTGCTCCCTCTTCCTTAGGAGATCCCTTCACATATTTATACGTGGCTCCACTCATATGTCCCCTCAACCTTCTCTTCTGCAGGCTAAACAGACCCAGCTCTTGAAGATGCTCCTCATAGGGATTATTCATGGTCTCCAGACCTTTGATCCTTTCAGTTGTCCTCTTCCTCTGGACACCTTCCAGCTTAGAGTTAGTATCTCTTTTAAAATGTGGTGCCCAGCATTGCATAGTATTGAGTCAATGCAATTAAATGAGAGATCATGTCCCTCCAAGAAGATCTCCTAAAGCAGCTTCCGCTTGGCTTTGGCTCAGCACTAAGATGATCATATGATGGGAATCTAATGCACAACCTCATTATTATTATTATTATTATTATTATTATTATTATTATTATTATATTTATTTATACCCCACTTGATCTCCCCAAAGGGAACTCAGTGGCTTGACATTAAAGCATTAGCATACACTTTATAATATTACATATATATATATATATATATATATATATATATATATCCCGCTTTATCTCTCCCAAAGGAGATTCAAAGTGGCTATCTATCTATTACTATTATTATAATATTTATTTATACCTTGCTTTATCTCTCCCAAATGGGGCTCGAAGCAGCTTGATTAAAAAAAAGCATTAGCACACAATTTAAATATTATTATTAGAATATATTATTATTACTATATATTATTATCATTATATTTACGCATACCCCACTTTATCTCTCCCAAAGGGGACACAAAGTGTCTTGACATAAAAGCATTACTATACGATTTAAAATATTATTATTATTATTATATTTATTTATTCCTTGCTTTATCTCTCCCAAAGGGGACTAAATGCAGCTTGATGTAAAAGCATTAGTACACAATTTACAATATTAGAATTAGAATGTTGTGTGTGTGTGTGTGTGTGTGTTAGTCTCCCAAAGGGGACTAAAAGCAGCTTGACATAAAACATTAGTACACAATTTACAATATACAATTATTATTACTACTATTATTATATTTATAACTCACTTTATCTCCCCAAAGGGGACTCAAAGCAGCTTTACATAAAAGCATCAACATACTATTTATTTTATTTATTTATCTATTTATTTATTTATTTATCGTGTCATCAGCAACCATTGTATTACAATTCTAACAGAGCAAAACAAACACACAGATTAAAAAGAAAAAGAAAAAAAACACAGATTTTGCAAATTTGGTAGTTGGTTAAATGTCCTTTGACCAGTATCTGGCCACTTGGAGTGCCTCTGGGGTTGCCGCAAGAAGGTCCTCCATTGTGCATGTGGCAGGGCTCAGGTTGCATTGCAGCAGGTGGTCAGTGGTTTGTTCTTCTCCACACTCGCATGCCGAGGATTCCACCCTGTAGCCCCATTTCTTAAGATTGGCTCTGCATCTCGTGGTGCCAGAGCGCAGTCTGTTCAGCGCCTTCCAAGTCGCCCAGTCTTCTGAGTGCCCAGGGGGGAGTCTCTCATCTGGTATCACCCATGAATTGAGGTTCTGGGTTTGGGCCTGCCACTTTTGGACTCTCGCTTGCTGGGGTGTTCCAGCGAGTGTCTCTGTAGATCTAAGAAAACTATGTCTTGATTTAAGTTGTTGACGTGCTGGCTGATACCCAAACAGGGAATGAGCTGGAGATGTCTCTGCCTTGGTCCTTTCACTATTGGCTGCTACTTCCCGGCGGATGTCAGGTGGTGCAATACCGGCTAAACAGTGTAATTTCTCCAGTGGTGTAGGGCGCAGACACCCCGTGATAATGCGGCATGTCTCATTAAGAGCCACATCTACTGTTTTAGTGTGGTGAGATGTGTTCCACACTGGGCATGCATACTCAGCAGCAGTAGCATAGCGCAAGGGCAGATGTCTTCACTGTGTCTGGTTGTGATCCCCAGGTTGTGCCAGTCAGCTTTCGTATGATATTGTTTCTAGCGCCCACTTTTTGCTTGATGTTCAGGCAGTGCTTCTTGTAGGTCAGAACACGGTCCAGAGCGTAATAACATACTATTAATAATAATAATAATAATAATAATAAATATAGAATATATATATATAATTCTATTGCTTTATACCCTGCTTTATCTCCCCAAAGGGGACTCAAAGTGGCTTTACATAAAAGCATCAGCATATTATTATTATTATTCTCTCTCTTCCTATATATATACCCTGTTTTGTCTCCCCAAAGTGGACTCAAAGAGGCTTGACATAAAAGCATTCGTATACAACGAATCTTACATTGGCTTTCTGGCTGGAGATGCCTTCAAAACCATCAAGCGGAAGCTTCAAACAGCTGAGAGGAGTTAGAGTCCGGCCAGCGCTTTCCTAGAGCGGCCGACCGGAAAGAATGCCGTGTGCCGCCCAGCGGTGGTTCCGCCGCGAAACAGAACCCGGGCGAAAGGTTCTGCTTCCGAAGGCTTCCTGTAGTGACCTTGCTCCTCCTGGAGGCACGCTGCGTGGGCCCTTCTCTGCCGGACGGAGCGGATGGGCCTCCCCCTGGGTCTTGTCTTCTTCCTCCTCTTCCTTCTCCCCGGAGGGTCGCTGAGAAAGGATGGAGGCTGGTGAGAGAAGGAAGGGAGGGAAGAAGGAAGGAAGGAAGGAAGGAAGGAAGGAAGGAAGGAAGGAAGGAAGGAAGGAAGGAAGGAAGGAAGGAAGGAAGGAAGGAAGGAAGGGAGGAAGGGAGGAAGGAAGGAAGGAAGAAAAAGGAAGGCAGATGGGCAGGCCTGAGTGGGGCAGGGTTGTCTTCGAATGTAGGTGACATTGGATTTCGGTTAAACTTGGCTAAACAAACAATGCCTTTCTCATATAACCCGGGCACCCAAGCTTTTATATATATAAGCTTGGGGACCTGGCGGTGCCCGGGTTATATGACAAAGGCATTGTTTGTTTAGCCAAGTTTAACCGAAATCCAATGTCAGGTGGGTTCAGTGGGTGCGGGTGAACTGCAACTCCCATATGCAAGTCCCATGGTCCATCCTCCTCCAAACCGCACTAGGATGCATAGTGGGTTCTGTGTGCCATGCAAGTCCGATCATCCATGGTCCGTCATCCCTCAAACCACACCAGGATATAGAGTATGTCATGGTGGCTCTGTGTGCCACATTTCATCATGATCCACCGCAGTGGTCTCAGGAAGTGAGTGAAGGTATTGCAAATCTCATCATCCATGGTCCATCCCCCGCCAAACCGCACCAGGATGTAGAATGGGGCATGGGGCCATCTGTGTGCCAAGTGTGGCCTTGATCAGTCATTGGTGTAGGTCGCAGTTGTCTCTGGAAGTGACTGAAGGTACTGCAAATCCCATCATCCATTGTCCGTCGTTCCCCAAACTGCATCAGGATGTCGAGTGGGTCATGGTGGCTCTGTGTGCCAAGTTTTGTCTAAATCAGTCATTGGTGAGGGTCACAGTGGTCTCAGGAAGTGAGTGAAGGTACTGAGAGTCCTATCATCCAAGGTCCATCCTCCCAACCCTGCCTGTTGATTATGTTGTACTTGTGTGCCAAGTTTGGTCCAGATCCGTCATTGGCTGGGTTCAGTGGGTGAACTACAATGCCCAACCAGGTTAATCAGTACCCCAAAGTCCTCTAATATGTTCTGTTGGTCATCAAGGGTCTGTGTGCCATGTTTGGTCCAGCCCCATCATTCTTGGATATTGCAGTGCTCTGTAGAAGTGGGAGTCAATAGGAAATCAGCCGCAAACCCACATACAGACTTTCACTTTTATTATATACACTAGCTTGGGTACCCGGTGATGCCCTGGTTATCTGGAAAAGGTATTGTTGGTTTTTGGATGTTATGAGTGGACCCATTAGAAATTGGTGCAGCATATCTGATGGCTGGTGAAGGGACTACAAATCCCATCATCCCTGGTCCATCCTTCCCCAAACCACACTAGGACCTAAAGTGGGTAATTGGGGGGAGGGGGTGTCTTTGTTCCAAGTTTGGTTCAGAGATGTCATTCATGGGGATCACAGTGCTCTGTGGAAGTGGGAGCCAATAGGAAATCTGCCCCAAACATATATACAGCATACATATGTTCACTTTGATTGTATACATAGATAGATATGAGTAGATAAAGGGGACTTGAATCACATTGGAGACTTCCTGAGGTAATAGAGATCCCCCTTTAGTCAGGTAGCCAGTGATGGAATGATAGGGATTACAGCATTTGGGGCAGCAGAGGGGAAGCCCCTTCCTCCCAGTAATAATAATCAGTGACAAGGAGTAATGGGAACTGCAACCTTGGAGGCTATGGAGAAGCTCCTCCCTCCCGATTGCAGCCTTCCCCTTTTCCTCCTGCTGCTTTCTGCCTTCCCAAGCAGCGTTGCATTTCCTAGTGAGTCATCTCTTCTCATAAGATTATTTGCGGCCAAAGTACGATGGCCTCAGCTGTGCCATTCAGGCTTCTAGGGAGAGAACAAGCTTGATTCCCTCCTGAACCTTTTTGTCAATATTTTGTCAATATTTTGTCAATATTTATTATTTTCAAATGCCTGAACCTTTTAGCCATTCATTTGCAGTATCTGCAGAACTTTTGTAAAATAAGATAGTAAATCTTTCCCTCTGCACTTCAGGCCGACAAACAGGCGCACTGCCTTAACGGAAGAAGAGAGCTGCACCATCGAAAGGCGAGACGCCAGTTTAACCTACGCCGAGTTCATTCAGCAGTAAGTTGATGAGGAAATGTTTCTTTGCTGGTCTAAGTTGTCGTCAGAGGGCAATGCTTCCACATTTAAATGAAAAGGTTCCAGGAGGGAAGAGATTGTGGTGATGATGATGATGATTTGATACACAACAAGATTAGTACACAGCAAACTAGATTGTTATGCTGACTTTTGTATTATTATTATTATTATTATTATTATTATTATTATTATTATTTTGAAATTAGATCACTATGCTGGCTTTTGTATTATTATCATTATTGTTATTATTTTACTGACACAAAACCTCAGTATGTCACAGCAAACAAGATCTATATGCTGGATTTCATATCACAAAATCACAAGTCGAACACTTCCCAAGCATCTAGAACTGTGTGATGTATTTTTGAATGATTCGTGCAGATCCAAGTAAGGTGGCCTTTTGCAGTTGACAGATCGTGATTTTGTCAATATTTATTATTTTCAAATGCCGGCTGAGATCTTTTGGCACGATACCCAGTGTGCCGATCATAACTGTCCCGTTTTCTGGCATTGTATATTTCTGTCGCTTCATCATCATCATTATTATTACTACTACCTGCCTCTCCTTGCAGTTCGAGGCAAGGTGCAACCTGGCCAAACTAGAGAGATAAAACACAGGATATATAACAAGACACACACAGTTGAAATGCAGACTAAAATTCACCTATAAAATGCAAGTTAAACTCCACAAGTTAAAATGGACTGAGAAGAGTGGATAAGCTTGATGCAGAACACCTGGCTGCCACCGCACCTGTCACCTTCTTTTTCCGGCTTCTTGGATGGTTTGCTTCTATATGAGGCAGCTGGAAGAAATATTAACAACCTTAGGTATGCAGATGATACCACTTTGATGGCTGAAAGCGAGGAGGAGCTGAGGAGCCTTCTGACCAAGGTGAAAGAAGAAAAGCTCGGTTGCAGTTAAACATAAAAACCAAGATGATTGCAACCAGACGGATTGATAACTGGCAAATAGTGGGAGAAAACGTGGAGTCAGTGACAGACTTTGTATTTCTAGGTGCAAAGATTGCTGCAGATGCAGACTGCAGCCAGGAAATCAGAAGATGTTTACCTCTTGGGAGGAGAACAATGACCAATCTCAATAAAATAGTGAAGAGTGGAGACATCACACTGGCAACGAAGATCTGCATAGTTAAAGCAATGGTATTCCCCGTAGTCACCTATGGATGTGAGAGCTGGACCATAAGGAAGGCTGAGCGAAGGGAGATAGATTTTGATTTTGATTTGTTTGCTGAGGCGCACGTCTATGATAATGATTGTTTTTGACTTGATATGTTTTGTATAACTGTGTTTTTAAGTGCCTTTTGATGTTATTGTGTTAATCTTTACTGTGTAAACCGCCTTGAGTCGCCATTTCGGCTGAGAAAGGCGGTATAGAAGTAAAGCAAATAAATAAATAAATAAATAGACACTTTTGACCTTTGGTGCCGGAGGAAAATTCTGAGAGTGCCTTGGGCCACAAGAAGATCCAACCAGTCCATACTTGGGGAAATAAAGCCCGACTGCTTACTGGAGGGAAGGATATTAGAGGCAAAGATGAAGTACGTTGGCCACATAATGAGAAGACGGGAAAGCTTGGAGAAGACAAATGATGCTGGGGAAAATGGAAGGAAAAAGGAAGAGGGGCTGACCAAGGGCAAGATGGATGACTTTTAAGGAGCTGGGGGTGGCCATGGCCGACAGGGAGCTCTGGCGTGCACTGGTCCATGAAGTCATGAAGAGTTGGAAGCAATTGAACGAATAAAGAACAAACCTGGATTCCAACATGTACGGACCTGGAAAAGAACAATACTACAGGAGGAAAGAGTTGAAAACATACAAACCAGTGGAGAGTGGAAAGGGATAGAAATTAAAATGAAGTACAGCACAGTTTCAGATTAATTTGAAGAGGATGAGGACTGAAAATTTCAGCAACAAGCTAGCCAAAGGGGAAAGCTGAAGACCTTGTAAAACATTCAGTTTGACTAAAATGAAGTCAAACTGCATTAATTCTACAGTGTAGATCAGCGGTTCTCAACCTGGGGGTCGGGACCCCCCGGGGGGTCGTTTGGCCATTTTCGGGGGGTCGCCAGGTCGCCTTGGCTGGCCCCGCCCCCTTCAAAATGGCTGCCGACCCCCCCCCCCCCAAGCCAGCCAAATGGCACTCTGTGGGTAGTCAGGAGGAGGTGCTATTGAGATAAAGGCACTGGGGAAGAAGACTCTCTGTTCTGGCCATCCGTGGAGCCTTCACCGCCTGGCCTTTGCCTCCTTTCAAGCTCAGTAGGGGGTGAGGGATGGACAGAGGGCTCCGCGCAGGGCCTAGCTCCTTCAAATCAAGGTAAATTTCCCCTCACGAACTCCAGTATTTTTTGCTTGCCATGGGGATTCTGTGTGCCAAGTTGCCATATAGATTGGAAAATAAACTGAGTTTTTCAGCCCATTTCTAAGGCTGAAAAAGCCACTCTCCGCTTATAGTCGGGAGAGGGTCCTGGCGGGAAGACATGGGGCTGAAAGAAGGCCTTTCTTTCAACGCCAAGCTTTCCCGCCATGGCTCTCTTTTTGTCTCCGCACAGCAGCCACGCGCCTTCCCCTCCTCCTGTCCTGCGCGCTATTCCCTCAGCCTCCTCCCCCCTCCCTGGTGAACTTCACTTCCATCCTTCAAGGAGCCCTGCTCCAAAAGTGAGCAGAAAGCCCAGGAGGTGTGGAAACAGGGGCTGAGGCTGTCCCTGTGTTGCTTTTGTGTGCACATGCGCTTAGCCTCGGGACAGCTGCCTCGGCCTCGCCATTTGACTCCCTCTGCTGCCTCTCCAAGCGAGAGGAAGCAGCTGCGGCAGCAGTAACCCTGAGCGCTGCCGTTGCCTCTTTGCTCTGCTCTGCTGGGACCTCCACCTCCCTGCCTTTCTCTCTCTCTGTGGGTTTCTCTCGCACCATCTCCTTGCCGCCCCTGAGCTTTGCCTAAACTCTTGCTTCACCCTCCTTCTCCTCTTTCTCGCTAGCCCAGAGCCACAGCGTTTTAGCCAGAGGCAGATCTCTCTGTGCAAAGACACAGCAAAACCCCTATAGATATATAAAGGGGGATAGATAGATACACAAGGGAAGAGGAGGCTCTCATTTTTTATATATATTTGTGTGTATATGTGTATACACACATACACATACATACACATATACATATATTTACATACACACACACACATATATAAAAGGAGAGCCTCCTCTTCCCTTGTGTATCTATCTATCCCCCTTTCTCTTCTCCAGGAAGGGGAGGGGTAAGAGGGGAACCCAAAGGCAGGGAGAGAGGGAGACACACACTACCTCGCTTTTTCTCTCTCAACACAAACACACACACACACACACAGGAGGAGGAGGAAGCAGCGGGGGGGGGGGGGGGGTTAAAAGGACACAAGGCTGTTTATCACCAACATTCTGCCTCAACTCCGACCTTAAAAAGAGGACTGCAAACCCATGCCTTGCATATCTTTCTCAGTTTCACCTCTGAAACCCTAAAACTAAATGGCACAAAATGAAGGGAGGAAGGAGGGAAGGCAGGCAGGCAGCGAAGAAAGACTGGGTTTGGAGGTGGAAAGACGGAGAAAATAATAAAGGGGGAATCTAGGAGGGTTGAGAGAGAGGCAAAGGAGGGCACTCAGTGAAGAAGAAGAAGAAAGGTGCTTGGGCTGCTCCTTCTTCCTCCTAGGCATCCCCCACCCCACTCCTTTTGACCGGGTTAAGAAAGAGGGAGAGAGAAAAGGAGCCACGGCGAGAGGTTGGAGGGGGGCAAAAGGTGCCTGGCTTGGTTGCCTTTTGGATTGCTCGCGCGCACCTTCCTCTCCCCAGTCCTTCCTACTTCCTTCCCACCTCAGTTCCCCCCCCCCTCTTTTCCAACACCCCCTTCCTACCCCAGTCTTTACTATACCCAGCCCCTCTCTCCCGCTATTCCAGCTTCCTTTCCACCCCAGACTTTCCCAGGTTCCAGCCTCCCTTTTCTATTTCAGTCTTGCCCCTTTCCCTACTACAGTTTTCCACTTTCTCAGCCCATTTCTCCTCCCAATCTTTCCCATTTTTCTAGCCCCCTTCCCCACCTCAATCTTTCCCACTTGCCCCCTTGCCACTTCAAAATTTCCACCATTCCAGGCTCCCCTTTGAACCCCCATCTTGCTCATTTTGCAGTCATACTTTCCCCATTCCAATCTTTTCCAGCTTCTCCTCTTTACCACCCCAATTTCCCCAGCTTTTCCCAATCCCCCCCCCCCCACACACACACACTAGACTGGAGTATTTCCCACTTTTCCAGCCCCCCTTTCCATCCCAACCTTTCCCAGTTTCCAGCCCCCCTTTCATACCTGAGTCATTCCCCCTTCCCACCCCAATCTGTCCTACTTTTTCAGTTACCCCTTTTCCACTTAGTTTTCCCACTTTTTCAACTACCCAGCCCCAATGTTTTCCCATTTCCAGTCCTTCTTTCCCACCCCCTTCACAAGTGTTTCTCCCTTTTCCTTATTCATACACACAAACAGCATTTTCCCCAAAATGTATACAATTATGATTATTGGATTGTTGTTGTTGTTACATTTATTATTTTACACCATGTATTATTGTTATAACATTTATTATTTTACTCTACGTATTATTGTGGAGCCCCCGGTGGCGCAGTGGGTTAAAGCACTGAGCTGCTGAGCTTGTTGATTGAAAGGTCGCAGGTTCGATTCCGGGGAGCGGCGTGAGCTTCCGCTGTCAGCCCTAGCTTCTGCCAACCTAGTAGTTCGAAAACATGCAAATGTGAGTAGATCAATAGGTACCGCTCCGGCGGGAAGGTAACGGCGCTCCATGCAGTCATGCCAGCCACATGACCTTGGAGGTGTCTACGGACAACGCTGGCTCTTTGGCTTAGAAATGGAGACGAGCACCACACCCCAGAGTTAGACATGACTGGACTTAATGTCAGGGGACTACCTTTACCTTTACCTTACCTTACGTATTATTGCTATTATTACATTTATTAATTTATTCTATTTATTATCATTGCTATTGCATTTATTATTATACTCTGTTATTAGGAGAATGCATAAGCACATTTAAATTGAAGAAGGCTAGAATAATGGTTTAATCAGAGTTGGACTTAAATTATCTTAAATTACAGTTTTATGTAAATATTCAAAAACATTTAACCTACAGATGTCTCAATTATGTAGTTTTATTGGTATCTATTTTTATTTTAAAATTTACCAGTAGCTGCTAGATTTCCCACCCTCAGCTTATACTCGAGTCAATAAGTTTTCCCAGTTTTTTGTGGTAAAATTAGGTGCCTCGGCTTATATTCATGTCAGTTTATACACGAGTATATGTGGTAAGTCCAATACCATCTTTGGTGGATTAATCACTATTTATTTATTTATTTATTTACTTTACTTTACTTCTATACCGCTGTTCTCAGCCCGAAGGCGACTCACAGCGGTTCACAGCACATAGGAAACAGCAAAATTCAATGCACCAATATAAAAAACAGTTAACAACATATCTAATACACAGTTAGTACACAATTACTATAATCATTCACTAACGTCTCATCACTAAAAACACAATCCAGATCCGTCATCCATTGTTCCATTCCTATATCATTACCAATCATAGCACTAACTACTCGAACGCCTGCACAAAAAACCAGGTCTTTACTTTTTTGCGGAATACAACCAGAGATGGTGCTAATCTAATGTCCGTGGAAAGGGCGTTCCACAGCCGGGAGCCATCACCGAGAAGGCCCTATGCTTTAATTATGTTCAATTTGTAACAATCAAAATACATCCTGCATATTAGATATTTGCATTAGAATCCATAAGAGTAACAAAATTATTTATAAAATAGCAACGAAAATATGGTTGGGGGTCATCACAACATGAGGAACTTTATTTAGGGGTCACGGCATTAGAAAGGTTGAGAACCACTGGTGTAGATGCTCCCTTACTGGGGTACAGGAGGAGGGGAAAAAAGGAAAATGAATGTCAATTCTATACTTCTATGCCCATAATAAGTACAGTGTCAGTGAAAGTACTCTAGATAACTTGCGGGACTCAAGAGCTGTGTGACAAACTGATATTGATGGTTGTTGTTATTTGTGACGCTGCACCTTCCTTCATTTTCCAGATATGCCTTTTCTCGGCCGGTTATACTTCAGGGCATCACAGACAACTCGGTGAGTCAATGCTGTTTCATTGTCTTGGTCATATCTTAAGAAGCCTTGGCATTGATTGTCATTTCGAATGCAATTTCTTGACTACAGTTTCCAAACCATATTGAAAAAAGAGGACAAGGCTTTCTTGGGGTGTGAAGCCTAAATAGTAGAGGTGTGCAAAAAAAATTCCTTCTCAGAAGTCGTATCAGATTTGTTAAATTTGTGCATACAATGCGATTTCCAAAATGTGCAGGAAAGGGGGTGGTTAGAAATTGAAACATTCAGTCTTTTTTGTAAATGTTCTGTAACGTTCGGATGTTTCCCAAGGTCAGTTTAATTTTCAGTAACCACCATTAAGCAAATCTGGTAAGCCAAGAGAACATAAAGTATTTTAAAAACCAATTTGGTGCCATCTCCATAAGCAAGGCTGGAGGTGGGACTACAGGGAGATTGAGAACACAGCTATCTTAAATGTAGTTTGGGAAAGTGAGACCCCCAACTGCCATGAATGCAAAAGGCCCTGCCTTAAACTACCTTTCCCACAATGTAATGCTGCTCAGGATACAAATGAGGGCTGAAGGATCCAAGTGATAGCTGGCTACAGCCGCCGCCTTTTAGAGTCAGTCTAATAAATAAAATCATGGAATCTGCAAAGAGGTCCAAAGTCAGTACTAATAGTATAAATCTGTGCTCAGCTGAAGTTATGTGGTTGTGTGTCATAAAGACAGTCAGACACTCAAAGGAATGCTGTTATTGCTTTTTGGGGGGATAAATTGTTTTTGTCTCAACTTTTTAAAATCCCCCAAAATCTTAATGTGTGAATCTTTCTGAAACTTCCTAGGATTGATGCCCTGGTTATCTTGTGCATTGTATATAAAATTCAAGTAGATAGCTTTTTAAAAATGTTTATAAAAACTTTGAAAATTCCCCAAAAATCCAGGGATAAGTTAAACATTTTGAAATTTGGTGGACTAACAGTGGTAAATGTGTTCTACCATTGTAGCAAGTTTCACCTCAATAGCTTTAAAAACGAGGGCGATAAGAGTTTCCCCACTGACTGATGGTTTCCTTAATGCACATGCACGACTGCCATTAATAGTAACGAAATTTCATTAGTCTCGTTTGAGTTCTGAAATTTTCACCACCTAAACTTTAGAAACACTTTAGAAATGAAGCGCCAGCGTCCCCTAGTTTTGTAAGTACTTTTGAACCATTTTTTAATGGATTGCACATGCCTACTAAATACTGTGCTCTAAAGGCAACAGATGCTATCTTATCTTGGAAGTTACTTACTAACAAATATTGCTGCTGCTATTTTTCCAAGGAAGCCACTAACAAGCCACTTCAAAGTATTCCTTGCCTATGAAAATCCTATGAAATTTATTGGACTGCTATAACTTGGCAGAAGACCTAGAAGGCATGTACCTGTCTTAGGACTTATAGCTCATATGTGAAAATTTAGGAATCACTCTCCTGAACTACATACAGCATTATAGTTCATTAGAAGAGAATGCAAAGTACCCTGAAGGATTACAAACTGCTGGATTTTCTAGATTGAAGCTAGAAATTATAGACAGCAATAATGATATCAAACTGTGCAAATGCACTCAAACATAGAAGTGAACAATTTTGTTTTGTGGAATAGGCCTCCCTCTGAGAATTTATATCTACAACCATTTTCTTTCTTTTTAGATGAAGATCGAAGCCTTCCTGTATAGTCCATCCTGCCCTGCTTTCATGGACAACCTAAATGTTGTATTTTTGTGCACTGTGTGTGTATATTGGCTGGCTTTCCTTCCTTTAGTGAGATATGCAAGCGTCAAATGTGCTGCGCATACAGGGCCAATTGTTATTGACCACAGTGCAACAGATCCATTTTCCTGGCAGTGGTGGAAGTAAAGCTTCACATACAGCACTGTATGTAATGTTGCACATTGTATTGATGCAGTCCATTGCGGCACCCTGTCATGGACATGAATTGTGCAACTGTGCTGTTTGCACAGGGGCTGTGTCATGCTGGGGCCACATATGTGCGCTATGTGAAAGGAGTGTTAAAACCCAGTTTGTGCTTAATTGCCGTGCATGGCTCTGACATCCTAATATCAGTTTTATAAACATTATGAGTTAAATAAATATATTGGGGAGCAAGTGAGCAATTCCTCACCACTTTGAATTGCCACACTGGAGATAAAAGGGGCTATCTGATTCAGCAACCCGTTACCTAAACACACACTCTTTCTTTCCCTCCCTCCACGCTGTTGGACTACAACTCCCATCAGAGCAGCCTTGATAGGGATTGGAAATAAAGGACATTGTAGTTCAGCTACTTTTGGAAACCCTGCAGCAATGGGCAGCTATATGGTAGTGGATGTATAAGGAGCATGGTAGAAGCCAAGTAGTATTTCTGTCCATGTTTTGTTTATTTATCAGATCGGGAGACAGCATGTTGTTCATAATCAGGATGAGTTTGGGAAACACTGGTTTTAGATTGTTGTCTTGCATCATGGATGGAGACCGTTTGGGCTTCTATATCCCTTTGGCTCTTTTCATGCTGGTTAGGATGGATGGAATTTGACAATGAGGTTTAAGGCACGCGTTTTCCTCTCTTGAACTGCCTCTCTTTGCCTCCAGGAGTTCCAGGCTCACTGTACCAAGGAGGAACTTCTGGCTAAATTTGGGGACCATCACATCCGACTGAGCACCGCCAATACCTACTCTTACCAAAAAGGTGAGGACAGCGTGACTGCAGGATACTTATCTAAGCAGCAGTTGCAGTGTGATGGAAGGAAGTGTGTTTAATGCAAACATATGTCTTAGGCAAGCTACAAACAGCAGCTGTTAGGAATTGTGGGAGTTGAAGTCCATAAAACCAGGAGGGAAGGCCAAACTTCCCCATGTCTGGTGTAGAAGGTTAAGCACTGAACGACGATTCTGGAGGCCAAGGTTTTGGATCTGCACTCGGCCAATTTTGTTGGAAATAGCAACCTTCTTCAAGCCTCCACTCGTAATTTGTTTGCATATGGTTCTGTTTTACTTACTGTATTGTATATGCATGTTTTGGCTTGAAATTGAAACTTGAACTTGCATGTTTTAGTATGCAGCTTTCCCTTTACTCTATGTTTCCTGAGCGGTTGTGGGAGGGCTGCAGACCACTTGATCAGATATGAGACTGCTCGGAGCTGAGACTCTATTTTAAAGGACAGACTCCATTAGATTCTCAGAATGTAAAGATGTTGCTGTTGGTTCTAAGAAAGATGCCCTGTGTTATCTGCAGAAAGAAATTACTTTAAACCTATCTCTAACTGGATATAATAATAATAATAATAATAATAACTTTAAAAACACAACGCAGAGCAGAAGAGAAAACTGGCAAAAGAAGGCTCTCCATGGACAGTTCCTGGGAAAAATTGAGAGCCAAATTGACAAAAAAAAAACAAAACAAAAAAACCATGGATGTGGCTCACAACTGGAACTTTGAAAAAGGAGACGTAGGGCCTGATTCTGGCAGCCCAAGAACAAGCCATTAGAACAAATGCCATCAAAGCCAGAATCGAAAAGTCGACAACATTCCAAGTGTAGACTCTGCAAGGAAGCAGATGAAACAATAGATCACAACCTCATCTGCTGCAAGAAGATCGCGCAGACAGACTACAAGCAGAGGCATAACACCGTTGCTCAAATGATTCATTGGAACTTGTGCCACAAATACCATCTGTCTACGACAAAGAACTGGTGGGATCACAAGCCAGAAAAGTTACAGAGAATGAACACGCCAAACTACTCCGTTACTTCTGAATTCAGACAGACAGAGTTTTGGAGCACAATACTGCTGACCTCATGATTGTGTGAAAAAACACAGTATGAATCGTTCATATTGCAATCCCAGGCAATAGCAGGATTTAAGAGAAACCACTGGAAAAGCTGACCCGATATGAGGATTTAAAGATCGAACTGCAAAGACTCTGGCACAAGCCAGTAAAGATGGTCCCAGTGGTGATCGGCACACTGGGTGCAGTACCTAAAGACCTTGGCATGCATTTAAACACAACTAGCGCTGACAGAATTACCATCTGCCAGCTGCAAAAGGCCACCTTACTGGGATCTGCATGCATTATTCGCTGATGCATCATGCAGTCCTGGACACTTGGGAAGTGTCCGACGTGTGATCCAGTACAACAGCCAGCTGAGTGATCTTGTTTGCTGTGGACTCATCTTATTGTGTTTCAAATAATAATAATAGCAATAACTTTATTTTTGTATCCTGACACCATCTCCTCGAAGGGACTCGGGGCAGTTTACATATGGCACAAGGTGCCTAAAAACAGAACAGAAAATAAAACACAGTATAAAATACAATAGAATAAAGCACATAGGCATATAAAACAACAACTAAGACTCAACAAAACTGTGCTCATCAACCAATGGCGGTTAGCTGCTGTAGCTGTATGCTGAATACATGAAGTTTGTAAGTAAACTAACTATGTTATTTTTAACGAAGACTACTTATTTTTGTCTCTTGAGAGCATGAGAAAGAAACCAAATATATTTTATGGGAGAGTAAATGGTTTTGGGCAACTGAAATAACACTTCTGAAGGTCTGCTATTTATTTTGTGCATTGGCATAATCTTTGTTCCTAACAGTTCAAAGAGATAACCAGGTATATCAGTCTAACATCTGAGAAACCTAATTTGCCTTGCAGGAATACTAGTGAATATTGTTTACCACTAAAGAGAAGATTGATACAAATGAGTTTTTAGCTTTTCTCAGGAAGATCATACTCCCCAAAAAGGTTATGATCATTCCAAATGGTAGTGAATGTGTTAATCTCCAAGAGGTCACGCTTCCAAAAGGCTTTGGAGATTCTGATTTTCCATTGTTCACACACATACCTTTTCCTTGTTGCAGTTGACCTCCTCTTCCTGGAATATGTGGATCAGCTGCTGGAACCCCAGGATCTGGACTCTCTTGGGAGCGGTAAGTAGACTTCCCCTGAAGATGTTAGTAGTCACAGATACAGGTGAAACGTCATGAAAAAATTGCTGCTAGAACACATCGGTCGTATAGCCTGGAAACCACAGAACATTCCAGTGATTCCATCCGTGAAAGCCTTCGAGAATACACATTTCCTTTTGCTCTGGAAGGGTGGCAACATGTGACCCTTGTTGTCTCAAGCCTTGTATTCCACCTGTTCAGAGTATCTTTCTTTTTTCTCCCCCAGAAAAAGCAGATGGGCTCATCCTGGAAGCCTCTAGGACAGGTCTAAGCCAACTTTGGCCCTCTCTCCAGGTGTTTTGGACTTCAACTCCCACAATTCCCAACAGTCCAAACCACCTGGAGGAGGGCCAAAGTTTGCCCATTCCTGCCCTAGCCTCCATAGTCAACTTCTGGCAGAAGCTGGCCATAGAGGAATGCTGGAGGACCACAAGATTCTTAGACAGGGGCATTCTCGGGTATAATCAAAGCATCTTTTTACTTGTGATATTCAGGGCAATTTGAATGTTTCGATTTATCTTTTTTATATAAATACACAGAGCATCAGATAGAGATGGCTAGAGAGACTTCAGGACCTCAAAACTGAAAAAGGTGGATTGACAGAATAGAATAACTTCATTGTCATTGTGGTATTGCACAACGAAATTAAATGCTTTCCCCAACACACACCACAAAACAACCCCCCTCCACACACACACACACACACTTCTCTCCACACTCACATCACACACTTCCACCACCACTGCACAGCCCCCAGCTGCTCACTGGAGGGAAGGATACTAGAGACAAAGTTGAAGTACTTTGGCCACATCATGAGGAGACAGGAAAGCCTAGAGAAGACAATTATGCTGGGGAAAGTGGAAGGCAAAAGGAAGAGGGGCCGACCAAGGGCAAGATGGATGGATGGCATCCTTGAAGTGACTGGACTGACCTTGAAGGAGTTGGGGGTGGTGACGGCCGACAGGGAGCTCTGGCGTGGGCTGGTGCCACATCAATGCAAAGCCATGGAGTTCAATATGGTTACAGCTCTCGGATCAAAACAGTCTCTAGGTCTGTCTGTTTGTCCTTCCCTTTGTCAGTCTGTATCATCTGCCAGATGGCAATAATTCAAAGAAAGAATATGCTGGGTGAAGTGGATCCTTAACAATACTCTTGAGTTTTCTTAAGCCTGTGGGACCTATAAAGTTCTTCCAAAGAGAGGAGAAAGAGGGCAGCCAATGTTTCTCTGGCTGAAGTGGTAACCCTTTGGGGCATCTTCCTGTGTGCCACTGTTCAATTACCAAACCCGGCGTAGATGCAGTCGGTTAGGAGACTCTCTAGAGCACAGCAGGAGAAAGTAACCAGTAGTTTCCCATTCAGTTGTTGGTTCCTTAGGAGTCTCAGGCAGTTCAGTCTCTACTGGACCTTCTTCCCCAACAATGCCGCCTTATGAAGGCTCCCCAGGTCAGAGCCTCCTTCACAGCGACACCTAGGAACTTGAAACTGGCCACCCGCTCCACTTGGTCCCCATTTATCACCAAGAGGATTAACTGAGATTGTCCCTGTCAAATCCAGATGTAGTTGGTGTCAGAAATATTAAAATTAACTAAGTATTTTTAATTACAAAAATGAGTCAAGCACTGAAAGGGTTAAATGGATGTAGTGACTCAGGAAAAACTGCAGTATAAGCAGGTGTACCTGTAAATTAGTACGCCTCAGTGTTAGTTGCCCTCAGTATTAAGAGGCCTCAGTGTGAGAGAGGCCTCAGTGTGTTAGTAGGCCTCAGTGTGAGAAGGCTTGGGGAGTGAAGCCCCACATTAAAGGCCTCATGTGTGAAGGCTGCTGTGTGAAGCTCTGTGCAAATTCATTGTGAGAGAAGGCTCTGTGAGAGCGAAGCTGTTTATTTGCATGAGAAAGAAGCCCAGCATGGAAGCAAAGAAGGAAGCATAAAGAACTTTATTTGTGTTATGGAAACATAGAAACAATGCTTTAGAAGGCATTCTTAGTCTTTTGTTTCCTTTCCCCTCCCCTACAGAAACACTCTACTTCTTTGGGGACAATAACTTCACCGAGTGGGGCTCTCTCTTCCGAAGCTACACGCCTCCACCTTTTCGGATCCCAGGCACCACGGGCGCCTACAGCTTTGGGATCGCTGGTCAGTAAGGAGGGTGGATAAGTGGGTGGTGGGGGTTTGTTCAGGACACAGGGTTAGGTGTTTTTGCTGAACTTGCAGCAAAACCTATTTCAGATGATTCCTTGGGAGATGTCAGGCCCAGCACAACTTTGGCCCTCCCGGTGTTTTGGACTTCAACTCCCACAATTCCTAACAGCCTGCAGGCTGTTAGGAATTGTGGGAGTTGAAGTCCAAAACACCGGAAGGCCGAAGTTTGCCCATGCCTGACCTAGACTGTAGGAATGGAAGTTTTGTGATGATGGTACGACACAACATCTGTCTTTTTTCTTCCTAGGATCCGGCTCGGGTGTGCCGTTCCATTGGCACGGCCCTGGCTTCTCAGAGGTTATCTTTGGCAGGAAGGTGAGAGGCACCTGTGGTTAAATAACACTATGTAACAAAATTTCTACAATTTTCTGTTCCTGGTTGGAAAGTGTGATTTCCCGTTTCATTGTGTAGTATTTGTTTTGAAAGTAGTTGTTCTACTCCAGAAACTTGGTTGTTTTTTGTGGCTGCCACAAATTAGGTTGAATTTGTTGAGACGAAAAGAGATATTCATTGAAAAACTAGAGCCAAATATGCTATAGCAGCATCTGTATGGGGATGATGCCCAACTTTATTACTCCTGATGCCAAGGAAGCGGTCTTCCACTTGAACCATTGTCTGAAGGCAGTGATGGACTGGATGAAGGTGAACTAGTTGAAGCTCAACCCACACAAGACAGGGTTTCTATTGGTGTTTCAGAGGAGGGATTTGGGAACAGGAGGGATTTCGACATGACCTGGATGGGGTTACACTTCCCCTGAAAACTCAGGTGCGCAGTTTGGGGGTCATCCTAGACTCTGCTTTAAACCTGAAAGCCCAGGTGAAGGCAGTGACTAGGTCGGCCTTCGCACAACTAAAGATTGTGTGCCAACTGCACCCATTCCTGGGGAGCCCCTGGTGGCGCAGTGGGTTAAACCCCTGTGCCAGCAGGACTGAAGACCGACAGGTCGCAGGTTAGAATCCGGGGAGAGGCAGATGAGCTCCCTCTATCAGCTCCAGCTCCTCACACGGGGACATGAGAGAAGCCTCCCACAAGGATGATAAAAACTTCAAAATCATCCAGGCGTCCCCTGGGCAACGTCCTTGCAGACAGCCAATCTCTCACACCAGAAGCGACTTGCAGTTTCTCAAGTCGTTCCTGACATGACAAAAAAAAAAAAAACATTCTTGGAGACTCCTGACCTGGTCTCAGTGGTGCAGGCATTGGTTACATCCAGATTGGACTATCACAATGTGCTCTACGTAGGTCTGCCCTTGAAGAGCATTCGGGAATTGCAGTTCATCCAGAGAGCAGTGGCCAGACTTCTGACGGGTGCAAACTTCAGGGAACGTACTACACCTATCCTGAAGCAGCTCCATTGGTTGCCTGTCTGGTTCCGGGCTCAATTCAAGGTGTTGGTCATCACCTATAAAGCCCTATACAGCTTCGGTCCAGCCTATCTGGAGCACTGATAAGCTTCTATTCTTAGGATGGCACAAGATTGCAGAGTCAGAACCTTAGGTTCAAAAATATTTATTGAAGTAAAACCAATACATTCTAGATAGAAAAGGTCTTGGAGCTAACTAGCTTACTAAATCACATTTTCTAAAGATGTAAATAGGGCAAAAAGTAAAAAAATCCATGCAACTTTATTTTGCCCGAGAGGCAAAATGCATCCTCACTGGAAGGAAGAAAAGGCAGAAGAGACAATGGAGGATGGCCATATGGCCAACCCAGGGCAATAAAAATACCTTTTAAAAAAGGAAGCTCCCTCATAGGCAGAGGAGACAGTGGCGAGGATGAGGAAAGTGGGGAAGGAATCCCTCAGCCTAATCCTATCTCTAGTCTATCAACTCATTGAGGTGTGAAAGCTTGTTGACACAAGAGACTTGTGCAGTCCAGGGATGAAACCCAACACAAAGGGCCGTTCCACCTGTGCTCAGTTTTAGGAAGGGGATCAAGACTTTTATTATTTAATAAGGCTGTTAATTGAGCCATGGTGGGGGTTGGGGATTTTATAATCAGGATGGAGGAGGGATACATGGGGGAGGAGGTTGGATTTTAACTGAAACGTGGGGTTTTATTGATTGTTGTTTTATCGTGGTTTCATCTATTTTCTTCTCCTGATTGAAGGATTTTAATGTTTGTATTCTGTTTGTAAGCTGCTTTGGGTCCACATTGCAGAGAAAGGTGGGATAGAAATATCTTAAATAAATGTCCCACAAAGATGTTTTTGCAGTCTAATAAACTTTTTCCTTGTTCTTATGATAGAAGCAATTAGGAAATAATGGCATTTATAATCCAGGAACAAAAATTGTGTTACATAGGGCAATCAGTGCATTTTTATTTGGGGCCAACAGTCATCCAGAACAATATATGTGATGGTGTCAATTTGTTGGTGACTCAGCAGCAGACCCGACAGCATGGAGGTAATGATCTTCAGGCCAGCACCCTGCAACCAGGTGTGCTTCTGTAGTTGGGACTCATCTGGGGTGAATCCCAAAGCCCTTTACATGTAAGACAATTTAATGTGAATTTTTCCTCAGCATGCAAGGACCATACCTAGCCAGTATTGGTGTTGGCCTGAGTATTCTGGGTGTTGGAAACTTAAAAAGTAACTGTTTCTAAGCTCAGAACACAGTGTGGATGGCAGGACGACACTGAACTGAATTAGCTGGGGGACACGGTAGCACAATGGGTTAAACCCTTGTACTGCTGAATTGCTGACCTGAAGGTTTGCAGTTCGAATCCGTGGGGTGTGAGCTCCCGCTGTTAGGCCTAGCTCCTGCCATCCTATTAGTTCGAAAACATGCAAATGTGAATAGATCAATAGGTACTGCTTTGGCGCTCCAAGCAGTCATGCCAGTCATACGACCAGGAGTGACAATGCAGGCTCCTCGGCTTGGAAATGGAAAACAACACCTCCCCCAGAGCCAGAGATGAAATCCTTTGGCTTTGTGTGTGCCTTATTGTATTGTAACAAGGCACTGAATGTTTGCCAGTATCTGTTTATACTGTAATCCGCTCCGAGTCCCCACGGGGAGATAGGCAGAATATAGTGTTATTATTATTATTATGCATTCATGTGTCTCATGCTCTCCTTTAGTCTTCCTTGCATTCTCAGGATAGGCACTTCCAGTGGATCCTTATAGTAGTGTAGAAGGGGAAATTTCTGGTTCCTTTCAGCTGAGCATCTTTCTGTCTCCTCAGCGCTGGTTTCTGTATCCACCGGAGAAGATGCCCAAGTTCCACCCGAACAGAACAACCCTGTCTTGGTTGCTGGATACATACCCTTTTCTGCCGTCGTGGGAGAGACCCATGGAATGCACCATTCACCCTGGGGAGGTAGGTATGTTGCTATCATGTTGGATAGGAAATGTAGCTGGCAGCTTTCCTTAACCTTCGTGGTGTCCAAAGCCAGTATTTGCCTGCATACTTTATTCTTATCCCAGCTACCTCCTGATATAGGCACTCAAAGCAGCTAACAACAGATTGTTGGGCATTGAAGCCCAAGTTATACGGAGGGCTCCAGGCTGAGGTGCCTTTGATGATTCTTGCCTTCTGCCCTCTAGAAATAGTGGCATTAACCACATTTTCTGCATTTTGCTCACCCTTTTACCGCTCCAAAACCCACCCCAGCTAAATCTCCTTAAAAATTTATTCTGGCTGGAAGTGGAGATTATGCACTCTGCGGTAGACAGCAAATATTTCCCAGCGAAATTCTCAGCAGGCTGCTTAGCAAGCAGTCACCCTTTTCTGTTTGTTTGAGGGCGTTTTTCCCCTTCTTTTCAACCTTTCTGCAACCGTTTCGGCTGCTGCCACTCAATGCAGCCTGCCCTACTTAAAGTAAGACTCGGTAAGCCCTGAGTCAGGAGAAAAGAGACTTTGGAGCTGCTCAGCAGGAGGCGCATCCCCACTCTGAGCACAGAACTCCGGCTGTGCAGATAAGATATTTTGCAGAATTCTTCCATCTCCAAATCCTCTTGTTTTCTTTTTCTTGAAAAGTTTTTTTTTCTTTTTTGCAGTGTAAAGCAATATATACACTAATTTATAAGCTTACTTCATGTATGAGTCTAAAGCAGATTTGGGGGCCCAAAATTATGGATTTTGATACAACCTAGAGGTAAGTCGAGGGTCCTTCCACAGGGGAAGGAAAACCTGCCAGAGCAACTTCAGGCATCTGCTTCCAAGGCATTCAACACATACTAAAGAGAGTAGGAGCCAAAGCTTATTTTCAGTTCTTCTGGCACTAAGCTTTCATCCTTCAGGTCTTTTTTTATTGATTTTAAGATACAGTAGCCCATGGAAAAGTCAACCCAGGTTTGGAATCTGTTTTTTTACTAGATTTACAAAGGAACATATACAGCCTTTGGCCCTCCAGGTGTATTGGACTTCAACTCCCACAATTCCTAACAGTCTACTGGCTGTTAGGAATTGAAGTCCAAAACAACTGGAGGGAGGGCTGAAGTTTTGCCTATGCCTGATCTACACAGTAGCATAAATATTAGAAATATTACGAAGAATATTAGAAATAAGTGGACACCCTCACCTTTGGTGGCCACGTAGGAACTAGAAGAAAGCCTCAACGTTTGTAATCTTGGCCATGCCAGCTGGGGCACCTGGCCATCCAAGTGCAAAGCGTCTGTCAGACCCTATTCTCTCAGTTCCAGCTCTCATTGTTCTTTCTCCCACCACCTTTCATTTCCCACAGGTCCTGTACTTCCCAGACCGCTGGTGGCACGCCACTCTCAATCTGGACACCAGTGTTTTCATCTCAACCTTCCTGGGTTAGCTGATCTGGATGGCCATATCCTGGGATTCCTGCCATCTCCCATGCTGTTTTATATGAAGTTGCAAATTTGGTGCTGGTGGCCAAACAACCACAGGACTTTCGTCTATGACATGACAGGCAGATGCTAGGGCACTTCGTGGGATTCAGACAGCCGGGACCCATTCCAGCTATGAAGTACCTCTTGTCAGAACTTGGCAGCTTTGTGTTTTTTGGAGTATAGCTCCAGAACTCCCCAGCCCAGCATAGTGATTGGAAGCTATATGTGCAGAACAAAAGTTACCAAGCTCTTAAGTGGTTCTGCATGTGAAGGAAGCAAGAGCTTGGCAGTTTTGGTTCTGCACTATAGTTTCCAGACTCCCAATAACTATTGGCTATGGAGATCTGGGAACTGCAGCACAGGCCAAAAACCACCACACCCTTGCATTCTTCAATCAGAGTTCATTGAACTCCAAGCAGCTTCTGCTTAACTAAAAATATTTCAACAGTACCCTCAGCTGAAATGCACTCACTTAACTCCCAGTTTCCCTTACTACTGGCAAAGTTGGCTGTGGCTGATAAGAGTGATCTGCATCTGGCACGAGTCAGGCATTTATTGAGCACTGACCAGTTTCTGGTATCCAGAACATGATGATATATTTTAATCTTCATACAATGCCTTGTTAGCATCAGGTTGAATGATGGCTGAAAGATCCTTTAACTAAAATTTCCCACACTTCTTTGGGACTTAAAACACAATTGCTGCCCCCTACTAGTTGCAGCATCAAGTAAGCAAAAATCCTCAGGCCACCAGACCAAGGCTGGACAACCTGGACTGCTACAATTTCCTGCAAATGGTGTTGGGCTTCCATCAGCTCTTCCATCAGCTCTTCCTATCAGAACTAATAGCAAGGGAAACTGGGAGTTGTAATCCAGCTACACATGCTGGTGGTAGACCATTACCATTACTGGACCATTATAGCAACAGAATATTTTGGCTACCTCCCATAGAGTTCATCAAGCTTAGAGGAAACTGAATCAACTTGAGTAGAGGGTTCCCCGTTGCCTTCCTCGGCCTATTTCCCACTACGGAAGTCTTTGGTATCGAAAGCTGTGTGTCGAGCGTTGTTTGGTCAACTGCATCCTAATTGTTTTCCTGAATTCCGCCTACACTTTCGGTCAAATTTGTTTCTGCCTTAACTAATCCCCAAAAGTAGGTCCCTTATTCCTTTCCTATCGGCTCTGCTTCCAGTTCATTGGGTGTCGCTGCCGTTCTTCTCTTTGCAAGACCCTTGATCTTAAATGACAGTATCCATCCACTTCATGAAGAGGTTTAAGAACTGGGTCAAGAAACCACTTCCAGGCAAAATTGCCTCTTCAGTGAAAATGCCCAGCTTTAGCAGGCGAAATCTCTTGATTCCTCTGCACTTTGCTCAGTGTTGAGAATCAACCAGGATGCACCTGACAGCAGGCACCAATGAGGGACGCAGCATGACCGCCAATCTTCTAAAAATGTCACAGTTTGCAGGGGAGGTGGCAGAGCCTGGCACTTGCTGTCCAAATACATTTTGCCTCCATTCCCACTTCCGAAGCTTGCTTGCTGTTTGCTCTAAGAGCTGCAGGAAGGAAGCAGTGAAGACTCTTCACCTCTGATTTAACCAAGAATTGGGCTTAAACCAGTGTGCCTCTTGGAAAACACCTGCAAGGCACACTTACAGGTCACCTGTTTCTAATCCACCCTCACACCCCTCTCACCCACCAAAGAGGTCTCACCACAGCAAAGTGGGTGAAGAACTAGACATCCCTGCTGGCCTCGCAAAGCCAGGTGAACTCGCCCTTTAAAGTCTCATAATCATAGGCTTCCTCGCCAGGAAGGAAGCAACCATTACGTCTATGCCAAGCATGCGGATGATCTAGTTAAAAATTGGGGAATCTTCTTGGGATGGGATTAAGTTTACATAGCCTGGTCTGTTTTTCTTTGGGGTGGCCAACTTTTTGCAGGAGCCCTGCTCCTGTGCCTTTTATCAGGAAAAGAACCCATGACGGTCTTCTCCCTTCCAGGGGGCCTGAGCATTTCTAGATAGGCTAACAACAGGCAAAAAGAGGCAACAAGTATTGCATATCTTGTTTTACATTTTCTATATACATTCCTCTTTTCTTGTGGTCCTACCCTGGACCTCAAATTCCATTTTGGGTTTTGCTGCCTTAAGGCTGGGTTAGTTTCCTTCTTGTTTGGGAGAGCAGTCTTTAGTCCTTCAGATGTTTCTGGACTCTTAATGCCCATCAACATAGGTGAAGATTGATGGGAGTTGTAATAACCTATCCAGCAAGTCCAAGCACCTGCTCTGCAATGAATATAGTTTCCAGAGGTATGAGGCTATTATTCTTATGTGTCTTTTGAATTGAAGTGGAATTGTGAACAGTAAGAAGAAATCTGCAAAGCTTAAACCAAAGAAGAGGGAGCCATGGCAGCCCGCATACCGTGCTAAGTGGAACATTTATCAGCAGGTGAAAACTGTCCCCGTTCTTCAAAGAACAGCACTAACGTGACTCGCCTTTCTGATCTATGGCTAAATTGTACTTACTTGCTTTTATTGTTGTCCTGGGAAAAGGTGAAAACGGGCGGCAGGGAGAGCGAGCATTAGGGATTTGCATCTTATTGCCGTAACACAATGGGCGTTGGCCACTCTGCATTTTGAATTAAAATATTTGTCATAAAGCTGAACTGTTGTGGATTTGCTGATGTTACAAAAACCATATAAACTCACTGAAACAGGGATGTCAAAGGAGAAGGAAAAACGAGTAAGACAATAGTAAGCTGACTCTGGAGCAGACTAGTAGGCTGTTAGGAATTATGGGAGCTGAAGTCCAAAACACTTGGAGGGCCCATGCCTGCTCTGGATCCATATAAAGCCACAATGTCACCCCTCATAAACAAGAAAGAAGTGCCCGTAGCTATAGAGATTGCTCTTTCTTTCCAATGAAGAGTAGAAAGCAAGTCATTACATGGGAACAGAATCCTGACTCTTGGAAGTGGAAAAATTCAACTATGAAACAGAGACATTGGTTTGAAGTTCTGGCTCAGATCATTTGCTTTATTTAGCCGGACAAAGCTTCAAACGAGCTCACAAAAGTCCGCTCGATACGCATCCCGTTCCGCCCTGTCCTCTTAACTCTGATTGCACCAAAATGGGCCATTTTTCACATTTAATGGGGCAAAAAACATCCCATGCCATTTTGTGACCAACTAAGGGTGTGCCTACACTGTAGAATTAGTTCAGTTTGACATCGTGTAAACTGTGGTGCAATGTTATGGAATCCTGAGAGTTGTAGTTTGCTGAGGCACATCACTTTGGTAGAGAAAGCTAAAGATACAGACAAACTGCAACTCCCAGGATTGCCTCGCAATGAGCCATAGCCATTAAGGTGGTGCCAATCTGTAATCATTTTACAGTGCAGATGCATACGAAAATGCACCGAAGCAGACGTGACATTTTTTAGTTGTTAAGTAGGTTGACAACGGATTTCCTCCACCGAGGAGTTCTTAGGAGGAAATGTTAAATCCTTATCCTCACCAACAATCAATGCTTCAGGAGTCTATATAATGCAGTCGCAACACACCTTTCATGAGGCAAAAGAAATCCGGGCGCATGAGTTAGCACAACCTTGGAAATACTGCAAAATGACTTATTAAAGGGGAAACATTTAATTGAAAGCAACCCCCAAAATGTTCTTTTTGAGTGGTTTAATGGATAAAACAACTACCTGGAAGGAACTTAATGGGCACGCAAGCAGGAAAACTGCTGATCCCAACAAAACCCAAATTCCAGTAGACACCTGCAGAATAATATCTCTTGGTGTGCCCACTTCCCCTCCCTCCCTGATATTTATTTACAAAGAAAGAAAGAAAAAACAGATGGAAAAAGAATCCACCCAGCTTATCCTGAACAGGCAGGAATAAATGGAAAGAGGAAACAAAAAATAAAACCTTTGTACAGAGAGAAAGAGAGAGAGAGAAAGCAGGCGAGAAATGACAGCTCAAAGCCAAGCTGGGGACTGGAGGAAGGAGATGGATCCGGCCTCTCTGGCATTTCGCTTACCACAGGAGCCGGACCCGACGACATCAGCAGCATTGTTATGGAAGGGAGATGTGTGCCAAGTGAAGGGACGCAGGCACGGCTTGGGCACCGTGGGATTGTCCTTCGTGGGCCATGACGGGTTCCAAAGGGTGCCCTTGGGCCTCCCTCTTTGCCTTGCTTCTTTAAGGCCTGCCCAGGTGTCTCTGCTGCATCAAGGCTGAGGCCAAAGCCTTCCTTCTGCCCATCTTACCAAGCCACAAAAAGAAGCCAAGGAAACTGGGAGGCCTCGGAGCTCTCTGGCCCTCGCTTCCCAGAGCCAACAGAGCCCAGGCGCTGCCAAAAGAATGGGCACAGGCAGGCAGACAGATAAATACGAGAGTAAGGCATGGGGCTGCTGCTGGCCCAGCGAGTTCAGAGCCATCCAAAGCAGTCGGCAGCCGGGCACACCTGGCCTCTTTCCCTCCCCTCCGAGAGTCATTAGTAATCTTCTACCCAGCCGTTTTCGGATATGAACGCGTCTATCACCTCCTTCATGGCCAGGTTGGGGATCAGCTGGTCCTGGGTCAAGGGGCTTCGGGTCACCGGGTCAAAGTGGCCGACACGCTGCAAAGGACGCAGAAAGAGTCATGAAGGCGGGAATAAGGATGACGGATCACAGAATCAAACGGTCAGATGAATGGAGACACAAACCATTCCCCCACCCCTCACCCCTGACAAATTGCCATCCGGCCTTGGCTTAGGCTGTTAGGAATTATGGGAGTTGAAGTCCAAAACGTCTGCCTGGTCTAGCAGCTCCAAAATTTTCTGGAGTCCCAGTTTGAATTGCCCATTATGATTTCCCAGGGAATGTGGGAGCGAAGGAGTAATGTCTCCTACAGCCGCAGCCCATCCAAATGGCTACAGCCCTTCTGTTACCTGAAGATGTTCTTCTATGTCCTTCCGGTCATAGGTAATGCCACTGGGTGTGATGCAGGGCTCTCGCATCAGTTCAAAGCTGATCTTCCCACACAAATAGTCAGGGATGTCCCGTTTCTAGGAAGAAGGGGAGACAGGAGAGATCAGAGACTCAGTCCAACCAGGCACCTTTTCCCCACTGCAAGGGCAGGTGAGGGTGATACTGAGATTTCTATGACTGATAATGCTGGCTAGGACAGCTGGGAGTTATTTTATTTGTTCATCTTACCAACACATTAAAATAACAATAAGGCACCTGTCTGTATAAATTTGGACAAAACTGTAAGAAGCCAAAGGCTTATGATTAAAAAAAAAAACCTGTACACTGACCACTGTAGTTTTATATTTAGTGTTTTTAAAGTTGTTTTGTAATTTGTGATATATGATATTTTAATGAATGTATATGTTTTTATGGCTGTAAACCGGGCTGAGTCCCTCGACGAGGTTGAGAAGCTTGGTACACAAAACTGTGAAATAAATAAATAAATAATAAATTAACTTCATCAGACCAGCGTAAGCCCCAATTGGATCTCCAAGGCAAAGCTCTGCAAATGCGGCACTGCCACTGGAAAAAGTAATATCCTAAGTCACTAGTCATCTTAACTGAAAGGAGGATGTCCGGATCCATGAAAAGTGGAAATCAGATACACACTGTTAGCTACACCATAAATAAGGGCTTTAAAAGGCCAAACGCAGGACCCGTATTGGCCCTAGGAACTTATCTATAGCTCACCTTCCGCTTCTCATCCACCTGGGAGAATAATTCATCCATGTCTGCAAGGTATTTCTCCTGGAACAGAAGCAAACGCTTTTAGCGAAGTGTAACACATCCAGATGTGGGGGACTACAGCTCCCACCATCCCCATCCAGCAGAGCAGTAAAGCCCAGCAAAGACTGAAAATAGCAAGAACATAGGCAACTTCCCAGTAAGGTAAACCTGGGGGGGATTCCTTGTATGATTAACATAAACAAAAAGTGTTCCTATAACTCTTTGATATTTCTTTGATTAATTAATTGCATTTATATTGTGTTTTTCTTTCATTAAGTAAAAAAACCTTGATGTTGGTCCAAGATCACCCAATGGGTTTCACATTTCAATAATAATAATAACAAGAACAACAAGCAAAGTTAAAATACAAAAAAAATAAAGGACATATAAGCACACACACACCATATAAATGAAATATGTTCCTTGCTAAAAGGAAAGCACAGACTATATTTCCAATTTGGGAGTCTCCCTTTCAGAACCTGCTTCATCGGTATCTTAGTCAAGTTGTGCTCAGAGGGAATAGAATGCCCAAAATTGCCAACCAGCATACTAAAAATGCCACATTTATCTTGTTCGTAGCATAGGAAGAAAACTACTCATCCTTTTTCTCTACTTCAGTGCTGCTGAAATGGGCCAAGATCCCTTTTAAGAGGTGATGAGAGCAGAGAGCTCTGCCAGGGCCTGGGTGATGGAGAAGGAGGTACAATGGCAGGCAGTCCAGTGGCAGTACTGCTCAACACGGATGGTGCTGCCAAGCAAAACTGTTCTGCAAGGCAATACTGGAGACCTCCTCATGCAATATTACAAAGAAAAAGTCCATGAGTGCAATCCTCAATTCCATTCGCAAAAGAGCATTCCAGTCACTGTAGAGAAATACAAAGTGACACCATTCCAGCGAATGGAACACCAAGGAAGGCAACCTATGAGCCTTTAGAGGCTGCAACACCTCTTGGCCTGCTGGTGCCAATGGGCACCAATGTCCAGTAATCTCTGGAAGGCCACAGGATGCCCACCCGTCTCCAATAAAAGGTTGGCCCCGAACCAAAAATGATACCCAGCCCTCACATGTTTGGCTTCAATGTTGGCCAGCTGTGCCCGGCTTCGGTTTTCGTCCACATTCTCCTCTTCCTGTGCCTGCCGGCATTCATCTAACTCCCTACGAGGGAAGCAGAGACAACAGCAAATCAATCAGGAGGAAACCCAAGGTGAAGGACAGCACCTGTTTGCACTGCAAAGATCCTGAGTTCAATCTCTTCCAGGTAAGGATCCAAGCAGGAAGCAATGGGAAATACTTCCACCTGAGAACGTGGCCATGCAAGGCAAGCAATACTGAACCAGCCAGTCAAGTAGGCTGCTATGGCGCATGGATGCCTCCCATGTGGCAGAGAGAACTAGAGAACAGCTCTTTTTTTGGACGACAATTCCCAAAATCCCTGAACCACACTGTCTTGGGGGTCCAGAACCTGTTGAAAAGTAACTTTCCCAAGTTCAGAGTTAACAACAGCATATAGTATGGATATAACATGGATGCCACTCTGCCCGCACACAGTGGAGTCACATTGGACAGCCATCTTTAAAGTTTACCTGAATACACAGCTCTGGAGGAAATCAAGCCCTGAGTCTAAACTAAAAAGGTCATCAAATTGCTCCCTGTAAGATGTAAACATTTCCTAGACTGTATCACGTTTGATGGTGCGGCAGAAAGTTCTTTTTATTCAAAACAGCAGCAGAAGAATAGCTCCCACCATTAGACAGTTAATATCAAGGACAAAATTTATGACTAGTCGTGTTAATTTTCAAGGTAGAGCCATCTATATTCATTAAGAAGTTCTTCATATCATGTTTGTTCATTGTCATTCAATGTATTATTTATATTTACTCATGAAAGGCTGTTGTCTAAGTCCGTCACCACTCCCCAACTTTTCCGAACTGGATAAGGAGGAGGCAGAGAAAAATGATTTGAGGAGGACTCCCTTTCCCTGCCACCCAAACAGAAGAAACATTGCCCTTAACAGGAAAAAAGAGGGTTACTCAACCCTTCTGTAGTGAGATGATGGGTGCTGGATTCCAGCAACACCTGGAAAGCCACCTTTGAAAATCTGAGGTAAGTTACTCTTACCCAGACTTAAACTCCCCCCCCCCCCTTTGCCAATAAATACACAACAATCTGGAGACAACAATCCCAACCTCCCTTATGGGACTGTGGTAATGGGTGCTAAGGAGCATGAAGCACCCTGCATATTTGCATATGCCCCAAGTAATTATATTACAAAGACTGCATTATGTGATTGTAATACAAAGACTCTCCACACCCTCCTCTACTGTAGACAGGACCCTATACCTTTCTTTCTCCGCTAGGATAAGTTTGGTAAGATAGGAATGCAACTCATTTTCCTGGTTGATCCGTTTCTCCTCAATGTTGTTCCAACGCTTCTTCTTGGCGATCCGCAGAGCGCTTGGAATGTCATCCCCAAAGTTCAAACGTTGCTCTTTGGCTAAGTTGTAGGCTGGGAGAAAGGGGGGGGGGGAGGGACAGAGAAAGAGGCAGCGTCAAAAAACTGAGATCAGAAATACAAGCGTTGCATCCAAGGACTTTTCATGCTACACAATTGTGCTATATATTACTTTTACTGCTATAGCTGTATCCTAGAGAATCCTGGGGCTTATGGTTGGGTGGGACACTAGAGTTCTCTGGCAATTCCAGCACTCCAAAGGATGGAATCATGAAATTTAAAGTGAAATCACTGTACTCTAATTGTGTAGCATAAATGTGCCCCATATTTGGAAAATAAGTTGAAACTTGGCTGGGGTCACAAGACAATTAAACCTCAGGAATCTGACTTAGATTATGGGTCTTCCCTGAATGTATAAATACATGGATGTCTTTATTATTCAGCAAGATTCTAAACACTGGGTTAGCATACAAAGTAGCACACAAAACAGCTGGCTCTCTCAACTATTTTGACCAACAACTCCCAGAATCTCTTACTCTTGGTGATGTTAATGGAGCTGAAGGGAACTGTAGCTCTCAACACCTAGAGAGCTAAAGGTCTTGTGGCAGAATGGCATGCAAACAAAATAACACAGCAAAACGCTGAACCCTCAATCAGCCACAATCAAAATTTACTTCGCCAAACAATTTTTAAATGCTTTGTACCAATTATCTAGGACCAGAAGCTTTTTCAAAAGGAGAAGCTGAGTTGGACTTCCTGGGCAACTGCCTCATCCAAGTTCTTACATAAGAAAGGAATGTGGCAGAACCAGAAAACTTCCCAAAGCCAGGAGAGGCAACATGTTCACTACAAGCATTCAGAGCTGGATCAGCCATAACAGGAAGCCACAGGTTCCCAGACTGGGAATGAGGACACCACATTCTCCTTTTCTTGCAAGGCTACAAGGAGGAAAGCAAAAGCAAGGCTGTTTTCTAAGCGCCTTTTCACACTACTACACAGTTATGGCACCATAATTCCACCTAAAGGGCCACGGCTGCACACTGTATAGAATCCCAGTCTTTGTAATTTGATGCGGCACAAGACAGAATTCTAAGAACATCATCCGAACTGCAAATACAAGGAGTTCAGTTTAAGAGGAATACCATTGGTAGACTTCAGCAATGTCAAATGTCACCAGGTATAAAAATGAGGGGAAAGCCCATACAGTCAACTCTCCATATCCATGGATTCTGCATTCATGGATTCAACTATCTACAGGTTGAAAATATCCACACACAAAATTCCAAAAATCAAAGTTTGATCTTGCCATTTTACTATGCCATTGTACATAACTGAATTTGAGCATCCATGGATTTTGATAGATCTGGAACTAAACCTCAGTGGACACCAAGGGCCCACTGTGTCTGCCACTCTGTGCTCCTGGAACATATAAACAATCCAGAATTATCAACATAACGAACAAAACAATGCAACGGAACACTGTTCCAGTTTCAATGGGTCTTTCTATTTGGATTCTCGAGAGAGAGAGGATGCTCTCTCAGCCATTCCAGCTCACCTCTTTGAAGATTAGCGATGGCCTCGTCATAGTTCTCCATCTCCATCTGGCATTGGCCCAGGAAGAAGTGGGCTTTCACCGACTGGCTGTCCAGCTCCAGGGCATGCTTGCAGTCGGCCAAGGCCTTGTCGTGCTGCTGCATCTTCAGGTAACATAAGGCCCGGTTGGTGTAGTAGACGGCCACCAAAGGATTCCGATTCTGAAAAGGGAAGGAGCGCAAAAAGCAGTAAGACATTTCATGCACACCACCACTGAGGTGGAAAAAATGATGGCTGGCCTTTCCTGTAGAGTGGCAGGTGAAGGGGTGAATAGAGCTTATTAGGTAAAGAGATGTTGAAAATGCTGAAATACAAGCCTAAGAGAGAGGTTTGTCCTTTGGCCTACAAAAAGAGCAAGAGGAAAGAGAGATAAAGTATTTGGAAAGCACAGGATGCTGAGTGGTTCAAGGATATAGGGCAGGCTGACATCCAAGAATCTAAAGTCATAACATGTATGTTTGCTCTAAGTGTGTAGAAGGTTATCAGTTTTGAGGGCGTCGAAGTAGAAGGAGGTGAAAGAACATGTTGAAATAGTTCCCTACACAGGGAAATATTGCATCTCCAAAACATCAAAAACTCCTCTACAGCTATGTTAGTGGCATGGTTTGGAAAACCATTGCCCAAAACAACATCTCACCTCTGTTTCATTTACACAGTAAGGAGAAGGAAGCCTTCTTTCCAGAGGGCCACACAAAACATGCATCCACCAAAGGGGAGAATGGCCTGAGGTCCTTGCTGAGGCAACTACCTCATTCTCGCCGGCCTCAAGGTATCTAGGACAAATGGGTTGAGATCTAAAATAGATCAGCAAGGATTTCTTATTTTTCACAGTTTCAGCGCACACACATTTTCTTCCTTGCAGGTAAAACTAAGGCGGGGAGGGAGAAATTGCTTTTGATATGGAAAATCTGTGACCTCTGTCCAATTCTGATGCTTAACATAAATTTCTGGCCTGCACAACATTCTGACTAATGGATTCTGGGTGTTTAATTAAAAAAAACCTAAAGTACATCTGGACAGCCTGAAACCTTTGGTTTCAACTGAATTATTGGCCAAGATAGAGGGTTAAACCCTTGAGCCAGAAGGATTGCTGACCAATAGGTCAGTGGTTCGAATCCGGGGAGAGCAGGTTGAGCTTCCTCTGTCAACTCTGGCTCCCCATGCAGGGGCATGAGAGAAGTCTCCCACAAGGGAGATAAAACATCAAAACATCTGGGCTTCCCTGGGCAACTCCCTTGCAGATGGCCATTATCACACCAGAAGCGAAGTGCAGTTTTTCAAGTCTCTCCTGACACACACAAACACACACACACACAGTTGGCTGAGATGAGGTTAACTTCTACATCTAGTCCAACTGTGTACAACATAATCCATATCTGCCAGATTCCCCCCAACAAAATATATTATTTCTTCATCTCTTGCCTGGAGAAGGTCAAAATCGGTACCATTATTGGGAACACACCAATCAAAAGTTCCTAGCATTGAAAGCAAGTGAATCAGATCCTTGATCCAGGATGATTCCATGATATACCTCCAGTCAAAGTATAGTCAAAATATAGGTTTTGCTATTATACACAGTTTCAGATATCCACGGGGATATCTGCCAAGGAACCAAGTCAAAGATCAATGAAACCTGCTACCTTTCTTGGTATCTATTTTTTCCCCTTGGAAAAAGGCACTCTACAAAGTTTAGTCTCAGGAATTTGCAAAGCAAGGGCTGCAACCCAGTGACAGGTGGGATCAAAGATAAATCAGTCAGATCAGAAAGAACAACACTTTTTAGCTTAGAGCTCTTGATATTAGTAACTTGAAATTTAGGAAAAGATTTGAAAATGAGGGAAGGAGAAACATATAAAGCTGGGAAACCAAAAGACACTGTTATTATGGGGAAGGGGGCATGGTAATCAAGGGACCCACAAGAGAACTGAATGGGACCCCAGAGCATGAACTTCTACAGCGGTCCAGCAGCTCCTGGGATTAAGATTAAGCAGGACTGCATGGAGCAATACTGGCAAAGCTAACCTGAAGCTTGATTAACGGATTTGGTTTACTGGCAAGCAAAATGATTAAGCAAAGCTTGAAATGCCTGCATGCAGCAAGGGAGTCGGGATCAACCTTGCTATTTCCCTCATATCACAACAGTAGATTATTTCAATTCAAAGCAAGCCTCTGGGTTGCATAGAGTTCTTCGTTTTCTCAAAGTCCCAAGAGAGAGTCCTTCTGCAGGTCTATCATGCAGTGGATTTGACATACACCAAGGCAAACAGGGCCCTTTCAGGAGATGGTATGCTCCAGTAGCTGTCACCTATTTCTAATAATTCACTGTTCTACAAATTTTCAGTTTTTCTCAGTTGCGGAAACGAAATGTGCCGTTTCTTAATAAATTTAACATGCTGAATTCAAATATAATAATTAAATGTGTTAATTGGCTCTGGTTTTTATGCAACAGCTATTTCAATTTTCTCCACAATAGGTAATTTGTTAATATTATGATAATGCGCCTAACCTTACTGCATGTATATAAACCGTGAATATTTACTAAATTTTAGTCAAATTATATTGCCAATAGTTTATACATGAGAAATATTTATTTAATTAGTCTATTGTTTATGTTTGTGCAGCAAGAAACTATATTAGTAGGCCTAATGCAGTTGAAAAGTCTGAAAGTTTAAATGTCGCTTTAATCGTGACTTTAGTTTATATCCTGTTTGCTTCTCTTGACTTTTCTTTTGTATTCAAGGAAAGGATTGTCTCTTACAATGCTCCAGCAGTAGTCTGACAGCATTGACGGAGTCCATTTACCTTGATATCTTTTTTCCATAGTGCTTTATTTACACACGTGCGAGGCATAACTACAGTAAAAAGAACAATGTAAAACGATGTTTAACGATACTGTCTCAGTCTTCAACTGACTGACCCTCACCGTTCAAAAGTCTGGCCTTATATAGGGCTTTCTGGCTTTTGCACACGGCACTAATACTGCGTCATCAAACTTTCTAGAATATTCTAGAATCTTCCATAGTGTAAGTCGCAACATGCATTTTTTCAACCATATGTGATCACGTGATTGCTTATATCATAAAAAGTAGAGCCAACACCTACTCCACTCTTCTTCTCTCTGCTCTTTTCCTCGCGCTTTGCTGTGTTATTTGAGTTATTTGTCGTCTTCTCTTCCTTCTTTATCCTTCGACTTTCCTCGTTTTTCGACTCCTTATCTTCTTTTCCGGCTTTTCCGGCTTTCTTTCAGCCTTTTTCGACCTTTCTTTGCTTTACAGCCTTGGGCTGCTTTCCGTCTTTGGGTCCTTTGGATCTCCAACCTCCCCGGTCTGGTCTCCTTCCGCAACGGCTCCGTCCGCAGCGGCTCCGTCCGTGCACGACCCTTCTCGGACTCATCACAGCGCTTCACCCCTCGCCGACAACCACAGCCACGCCCGCAGTCACCCCTCGCCGACAATCGAGGCCTGTGCGCTCACCACTCGCCGTCGTTACTCCACAGTCACCACTCGTCGGCGGCTTCGTCCGCGCTCGACCCTACTCAAACTCGCTACAGCGCTTGTAAGTGAATTGGTTTCTGAGCGCTCCAATTCCTGCTGGTTTGTTCTTTTATCCAATTTCTATGGGTAACTTGTCTAGCAAGTTCCTTTCTTTTCCCTTTTTCCCTCCGTTTCCCTTATCTCTCTTTATATTCTTCTTTCCTTTATAAATAAGACTTATTGAGTTTTAAATGGAGGTGGTAGGCCGCATACCGAACCTTGGGTCGGCGTCCTCATCCCAGGTCTTATCTCCAAGGGCCCCTTGCCACCAGTAGGAGTTTCCAGGAAACCCTCCCCGCTTGTATGCCTTGGTAGAAGTGCCAACACGACCTTGCCTGTCGTCGTTGGGGAGAAATATTGATCCCCCGACCCTTGAGCGAGGTTTCCAGCTTTGGAGCTCGGAGAGCTTCAACAAGCTGTTGCAGCCTCCATATTGCCTCCACCGGAAGTACACTTGGAAAATAGATATCTAGGTAAATTATTTTACTCCTCAGCAACAAAGAAGAAGAGAGGGGTAGTGCTATACATTAAAGAAAATCTTAATCCTGAGCTAGCCTTCAAGGATAATGATGGGAGAATGATAGGTGTGAAGTGTGAAGTAAATGGCCTAAGTATACTTATTTGTAACATTTATGCTCCCAACGGAGCTAAGTCCAGCTTTGTGAAATCCCTAAAAAAGGAGCTAATAGAGCATAGGACTGACAATATCATAATTTTGGGAGACTTTAATGGAGTCTTAGACAACAAAATAGACAAAGCTGGGAAAAAAACAAGAGGGGGAGACAGACCCTAAAGGAGGGAACTTACCAGTGATCTTCACACAGTTACAAAAAGAATTCCACCTACAAGACATCTGGCGGACCCTGAACCCAGAAACAAGGGATTATACTTTTTTCACGAAGAGACAAGAGACATGGTCTCGTATTAACATGTGTTGGATGTCCAAATCTTTGGTTATCAAAACTAAGAAGGTAACAATAATACCTAGGACCCTTACGGACCATTGCCCATTGAAAATCAATATGGTAATTAGTCAACAAGAGAGAAGATGGAAATTAAATGACTCGCTAATACAATCAGAAGAGGACATAAAGTATAATAAAAAAATATTAAAGGAATACTTTGAGAATAATATAGGCAACGGAACCAAATTAGGAATAGTATGGGACGCCAGTAAGGCGGTTATCAGAGGACACTTCATACAGCACGGAGCCATCAAAAGTAAAAAAAGGAAAGAGGAACAGGGGAAATTAGTAGATAAATTAAAAAATAAAGAGGATGAATTAAAGAAAAGGCCGGGAAATAAAAAAATCCAACTAGAAATAGAAATGCTAAGGAAGGAGGTAAATGCGGCTCAAATAAATCAAATGGCTAGAAAGTTAAAATATTTAAGGGCTCAATATTTTTTAAAAGCTAATAAGCCGGGGAAATTCCTGGCAAGAATGTTGGCGAAGAGAAGACAACAGAATTTCATAACACAAATAATAGAAGAAGGTAAGAACTACACGAAGGAATAAGAGATTGCAAACAAATTCAGAGAATACTATCAAAAATTATATAAAAAAGACGTAGTCACAGAAGAGGATATAATGAAGTATATCTCAGACCAGAAAATTTCTAAAATATCT